AATATAGAGTTTATTGATAACATGAAGGTAATTTATATTTTAGTTTTTATTGGTTCACTATATAGTACTGTGAATAGCTCAGATGTGTAGTCATTTCTGTGACCAGTCACTAGCAAATCACCCAGTTATTTCAATGCTAAATTCGCCTAGTTATTTCAATGCTAAATTCTCCTGTTTGATTTGTACTAAGTGCCTCGGTGAATGTGTATGCTCTGACTTCAACGTAACTATTTCTGTAGCAGTTACAAGCGAATCACTCAGCCATTTCAATGCTAAATTCTATGCTAATCCCATTGTCAAGGGGTGCCTCTGCGGATGTGTATGCCTTAACTTAGCTATTTCAATGCTAAATTCTATGCTAATTCCTTTTAACAATGGGTGCCTCTGCGGATGTGTATGCTTTAACTTTTAACATAGCTATTTCTGTGACCAGTCACAAGCTAATCATTCAGCCATTTCAATGCTAAATTTTATGCTAATTCCTTTGTCAAGGCTCTTTGTTCCTCTCACACAGCTTAAAAGCCGTGATCTGAACGTGGCTCTCTCACTCCAGCGCTGTCCTACCAGACAGTCTCGCCCCCTTCACCTGATGAAGGCCGCTTGTGTTGTGGCCGAAACGTCGTGAGAATATTATTGTGTTATTTTATTTTATCAATTTATTATTTTATTCTCATTCTACGTGACTTTACCGAAAGAACCAAAGAAGATGAATCATTGCAGTCACGAAAGCTTTAAATCGTTAATTCACTGTTGTCCGTCTTCACACCACAGTGGGTGTGAGACGTCGCGGTGATGCGGTTGCGGTCCTCAATTGAATGTCGAACTTTCCAAGCAAAGTTCCAAGGCTTGTGGGTAAGTGGATTAAACACACGCAAAAAAAATCCCTTGCAGACACACGGAACATCGTCATTATTTTCTCTCTTTTTTTTAGCAAGGGTCTGGAAGACCGCGTGACTGATGGGGATGTGTCAAATGTACTTTCACGTGGAGGGACGGGTATGGGAAGGTATTGTCTGGTTATATATATATTTAATGGGTTTTTTTGCTCGCTGTAATCGCCACGGCGACGCTAATGATTACGAAGGGTTGCATCAAGACATGTTTATATTGCACGGACTATATATTAAAAGAGTTTAACATATGGAGGACGAAATCTATAAATCATTGAATACACTTTTTATTTCGCGAGGTTTCAGCAAAGACAGCTATTTGCAATGTATCGTTTAAAAAAATATAATATCGCAAGCACGAGGAGCCGTTGCTATCCTCCCGGGGCCAGCAAAGTGACGGCGATTTAACGCAAGTGGATGCAACCGGAGGAAGATCTCAGAATCCGTCGTTTGAATTGCAAAAACAAGTATACATATATATAAAAAAGTGTCTCGCTCGCGACAGCCGGAAAAAATAAAAAGCCCCGTTCGAGCAAAGTCGATCTCTTATCTCCGTACCGACAGCAGAAATGACCTCCCCCCCCCCCCCCCCCCCCCCCCCCAGTGTGTGCTGGCCGGTCTCACCGTAATCGTGTGGGTGGTTAGTGGGGTGGGTTAGTGGGGTGGGTTAGTGGAGTTAGTGGGGTGGGTTAGTGGGTGGTTAGTGGGGTGGGTTAGTGGAGTTAGTGGGGTGGGTTAGTGGGGTGGGTTAGTGGGGTGGGTTAATGGGTGGTTAGTGGGGTGGGTTAGTGGGGTGGGTTAGTGGGGTGGGTTAGTGGAGTTAGTGGGGTGGGTTAATGGGTGGTTAGTGGGTGGTTAGTGGGGTGGGTTAGTGGGTGGTTAGTGGGGTGGTTTAATGCGTGGTTAGTGGGGTGGGTTAATGGGTGGTTAGTGGGGTGGTTTAATGCGTGGTTAGTGGGGTGGGTTAGTGGGTGGTTAGTGGGGTGGGTTAGTGGGTGGTTAGTGGGGTGGTTTAATGGGTGGTTAGTGGGGTGGGTTAGTGGGTGGTTAGTGGGTTGGGTTAGTGGGTGGTTAGTGGGGTGGATATTAGGCGGCGGTGGGGAGTGATGTGGGGGGAGCGGTGGCGCAGCGGTTAGCACACCCGCACTATGAATCCCGGCGACCCGAGTTCGAGTCCCGCTCACGGCCAACACCAGTGACGATTATCTGAACCGGTGCCGGGCCTCCCCTAGGTCGACTCGGCTTCAAATGAGGACCTGGTGCGGTGCGCCACTGGGGAGACAAAGGCGGCCGGGCGTGGTGTTGGCCACCCACCCCCTAGTGTGCCTTGCCTCCCTTCAAGGGTGCTCGCTAACAGCACTTGCCCCAACAGTATGTTGAGGCTGCACGGGAGATCTTTGTCTTTCTCCAGATCCGTATAACTTTATTGACACTGAGCATAAAGCCTCGGGGTGCTTGCTACCTTTCTCAGTGGCTTGTTATCGAGGGAATACGGTACGCGTGCTTTTGTTTTCCTAGTCAAACGCACGTAGGGGTTTTTTTTGCGTGCCAATAGTCGATTTGCATTTGCTGATTGAGTCGTGGGAATTCGGCATTCTAGGGCTGAACGAGCGATTTTTCTGACAGATATTGCGATTAATTTTTTTAAAGTCAAGCTTCGGTTCAAAATTCACTGTGTAATAGATTTAAAACATGTGATGGAGCATTACCACGTGATGTCATCAAAATATGAACTGCTCTATATATTCTAATGCAAGGATGAGAACTTGAAAGATATTAATTGCTTCCAACATGTATTTATTAAAATGTTTTAATTGAAATAGAACAATCAAACATAGAATAATTAATAATAATAAATATAAAACTCTATTATTATATTTTGGTACTGGCAAAGGAGGTCCAATGATGTAGATGCCTACCCCGAGCCCTCATTACTTTGATAGTGGCATTGTCTTTGAGCTGTACGCCTTTTGGCGTCATCTGGTCTAACACCAATTCAGACTAGGCTCTAAAGAAAGCTGTCTCTGGTGTGGACCAATCAGTTTCGAGGACAATGCATCATATATTATCAGTGTGTTTTTGTTTGCACTTTGACTGCAAGTATTGTGGTTAATACAAACATGAATCCTCGTAAAAAAAGGTTTCAGGGGAAAAACCCTATTATTATATTTTGGTACTGGCAAAGGAGGTCCAATAACATAGAACAATTGTTAACTTAAAGAAAGCTATAATAATAAATTAAGCAATACCAATAAGAAAGTAATCGGACTTTTCAAATCGCAAAAAAATCGCAGCCTTTACGATTTGCTAATCGCATTGTTTAAATTGCGATTTCGATTTGAAATCGATTAATCGTTCAGCCTTACTGCATTCTGGTGGTGGGAGGAAAGTCTTTCCACAGGACAACAAAGGTGACGTCTTACAACGTGGTGTTCGTTTTATCCTCCCCCGCGGGGATGATGGGCTGGGGTTTCCCCTGACGGGGATTTGAACTGGTTAACTTCAGTTGAAGTCTATGGATAACGCTGGTCGCTTCCTGGCTAAATAATTAATTATTGTATGTGTGTGTCTGTGTGCATGTGTGTGTGTGAGTCTGTGTGTGTGTATGTGTGAGTCTCTGTGTGTGTGAGTCTGTGTGTGTGAGTCTGTGTGTGAGTCTGTGTGTCTGTGTGAGTCTGTGTGTGTGTGAGTCTGTGTGTGTCTGTGTGAGTCTGTGTGCACGTTTGTGTGTGTGAGTCTGTGTGTACGTGTGTGTGTGAGTCTGTGTGTGTATGTGTGTGTGTCTGTGTGAGTCTGTGTGAATCTGTGTGTGTGTCTGTGTGAGTCTGTGTGTGTGTCTGTGTGAGTCTGCATGTGTGTGAGTCTGTGTGTGTGTGAGTCTGTGTGTACGTGTGTGTGTGTGTGAGTCTGTGAATCATGACGTGAATGTCAGTCATACCTGTCAACCCTTTATCAGTGCCCTACCTTATTACAGACACATTCAGACCTACAAAGTCCCATCACAACGGAGAAACACAAACAAATAGACAAAACCAAAGTTGTTGCCCGTATTCAAACAACTGTAAGCCGTATGGACCTGAAAACGCAATATCCCTGTACAAAAATACGGAGTAAACCGTGTGGGTTGACAGGTGTGGACAGTGGATGCGCGGTGCGTAGAGTGACGGGATTTGTGTACATATGTACGTTGAACTTCTTTCGTACCGTACGTAGCCAACCGTGCTAATAGGAGGTGCGAAATCGGAGGAGGATTGGGAGTCCGTGCGGAACGAACCTTCGAGCAACTAACCCCGCAACTAATGATGGGGCTTTTGTCTCAGCGGAAGAAGCAAACGCCAAATTCCCCTTGTCCAAGAGAGGGCACCGGATAAGCGTTGTTCATCGACAGGCGCCGGGGGACAAGAGGTCACGAACATGGTGCAGAGACCACCGCTAAGCACGCGCAAAATTGTTCAATTACGCAAAGTGCGGATTAGAAGTTACGTAAATGATTGAATTACACGGACACGTTTATCCCGCATGAGTGCTCCCCCCCCCCCGCAAAACGTTTGGCCTTGAGAAGGAAAAGAAAAACCTCCAGTAATAACATTCGACAACGATAATAACATTGTATGACACTAACATTCTATAATAATAACAACATTCTATAATAATAACATTCCATGATAATAACATTCCACAATAATAACATTATATAATTCGGCCGTAATATTTAAGGTGCACGTGGTTTCGCGACGCAGAACGCGCGATGCAGCGAGCGGCAGCGCCGCTGCGAATGTCAAAGGCGGAGAGAGATGCGAGGCAGCACTCCGGGCCGTCTTCACGGACATTTCGTAAACGCGTGCTGGGGGTCCATCAGCCGATTGGATGTCCACGTTGGACGTCATAAACCTGGCTGAAAGACACACTGCGACCTCGACGCTGGATATATATAAAAAAAATAATTTAAACGACCCGTGAAGCAATGCTATTGTGAGCTAAGGTCAAGATGGTCTTCTTATTTTTGGTATGGCTGATGTTGATGCATGTTGAACTTCTTACACGCTGTACGTAGGCAACCGCGATAATCGGAGGTGCGGGGGAAGGACAACAAACTAAACACACATAGCAGCTATGTAGAAGTTAGTTTTCAATATAGATTGTTTAAAAGTGCAGAGCTACAGTGGCTTCCTAATATCGGAAGGAAGAGATACCAGTACCAGAACAATGCCACCTCAATGTCTCTACACCGTGCTTCAGAGATACCAGCACCAGAACAATGCCACCTCAATGTCTCTACACCGTGCATCAGAGATACCAGCACCAGAACAATGCCATCTCAATGTCTCTACACCATGCTTCAGAGATACCAGCACCAGAACAATGCCATCTCAATGTCTCTACACCGTGATTCAGAGATACCAGTACCAGAACAATGCCATCTCAATGTCTCTACACCGTGATTCAGAGATACCAACACCAGGACAATGCCATCTCAGTGTCTCTACACCGTGCTTCAGAGATACCAGTACCAGAACAATGCCATCTCAATATCTCTACACCGTGCTTCAGAGATACCCGCACCAGGACAATACCATCTCAATGTCTCTACACCGTGTTTCAGAGATACCAGCACCAGAACAATGCCATCTCAATATCTCTACACCGTGCTTCAGAGATACCAGTACCAGGACAATACCATCTCAATGTCTCTACACCGTGCTTCAGAGATACCAGCACCAGGACAATACCATCTCAATGTCTCTACACCGTGCTTCAGAGATACCAGTACCAGAATAATGCCATCTCAATGTCTCTACACCATGCTTGAGAGATACCAGTACCAGGGCAATACCATCTCAATGTCTCTACACCATGCTTCAGAGATACCAGTACCATGACAATACCATCTCAATGTCTCTACACCGTGCTTCAGAGATATCAGTACCAGAACAATGCCATCTCAATGTCTCTACACCATGCTTCAGAGATACCAGTACCAGAACAATGCCACCTCAATGTCTCTACACCATGCTTCAGAGATACCAGCACCAGGACAATGCCATCTCAATGTCTCTACACCGTGCTTCAGAGATACCAGCACCAGAACAATACCATCTCAATGTCTCTACACCGTGCTTCAGAGATACCAGCACCAGGACAATACCATCTCAATGTCTCTACACCGTGCTTCAGAGATACCAGTACCAGAACAATGCCACCTCAATGTCTCTACACCGTGTTTCAGAGATACCAGCACCAGGACAATGCCATCTCAATGTCTCTACACCGTGCTTCAGAGATACCAGCACCAGGACAATGCCATCTCAATATTTCTACACCGTGCTTCAGAGATACCAGCACCATGACAATGCCATCTCAATGTCTCTACACCGTGATTCAGAGATACAAGCACTATGACAATGCCATCTCAATATCTCTACACCGTGCTTCAGAGATACCAGCACCATGACAATGCCATCTCAATGTCTCTACACCGTGCTTCAGAGATACCAGCACCATGACAATGCCATCTCAATGTCTCTACACCATGCTTCAGAGATACCAGTACCAGAACAATGCCACCTCAATGTCTCTACACCATGCTTCAGAGATACCAGCACCAGGACAATGCCATCTCAATGTCTCTACACCGTGCTTCAGAGATACCAGCACCAGAACAATACCATCTCAATGTCTCTACACCGTGCTTCAGAGATACCAGCACCAGGACAATACCATCTCAATGTCTCTACACCGTGCTTCAGAGATACCAGTACCAGAACAATGCCACCTCAATGTCTCTACACCGTGTTTCAGAGATACCAGCACCAGGACAATGCCATCTCAATGTCTCTACACCGTGCTTCAGAGATACCAGCACCAGGACAATGCCATCTCAATATTTCTACACCGTGCTTCAGAGATACCAGCACCATGACAATGCCATCTCAATGTCTCTACACCGTGATTCAGAGATACAAGCACTATGACAATGCCATCTCAATATCTCTACACCGTGCTTCAGAGATACCAGCACCATGACAATGCCATCTCAATGTCTCTACACCGTGCTTCAGAGATACCAGCACCATGACAATGCCATCTCAATGTCTCTACACCGTGATTCAGAGATACAAGCACCAGAACAATGCCATCTCAATGTCTCTACACCGTGATTCAGAGATACCAGCACCAGAACAATACCGTTTCAATGTCTCTACACCGTGATTCAGAGATACAAGCACCAGAACAATGCCATCTCAATGTCTCTACACCGTGCTTCAGAGATACCAGCACCAGAACAATACCGTTTCAATGTCTCTACACCGTGCTTCAGAGATACCAGCACCAGGACAATGCCATCTCAAATTCTCTACACCGTGCTTCAGAGATACCTGAGGGCCACAGAAGCGCGTCTGAAAGGGCGCGATGACGACGCAGCCGACGATGAAAAAGCCTCACGTTGGGCTAATTGCAGACGCGTCGGTGCCGCGAGGGTTCCTGCGGTGAACGCGTGGACGAACTCCTGCGATGGGGGGGGGGGCCTTTAAACCGTCGCCGATTCCTCGCTCCGCGCGCCGGCCCCACTGCTACTGCCACCAGCACAGTGAAGTGTTGACACGTTAAGCCCTGCCCCACATACAAGTAGGTCAAATCCATCCCTGCTAGTCGGCGAGCGCCTCCCTCCCAACCCAGCCTGCACACCCCCACCGCAACCCACTCTCCCGTCTCTCGCTCGCTCGCTCGATCCCTCTCTCGCTCCCTCTCTCTCTCTCGCTGCTTTGCGCGTCTAATTTTACCCGTAGGGTCGTGCGTCACGGCACATAGCACGCGCCCTATTGGCATCATCGGCGCGCAAACTCGCTCCTTGTTTTCGCTCCGGCTATAAAAAAAAAATACAACTCCACAACCTCCCCATCCACCCACCCAAACCGAGCAGTGGCCGCCGTTGCTGCCGCTTGCGGGGCGGGCATTTAACAGCGGCCGACGGAGAGGAGAACGCGGTGGCTTTGGCTGCGAAGGTGGTTGCGGTAACGCGCGCGCGCGCACGCACGCACGCGATGTCCTTCGCGACGCAGCCGGCGTTCATCCCCGACTCGTTTCACGAAGGTTTGTGCAAATGTGCTTTTTCTTTAAAAAAAATTTTTTTAAACATTTTTAGTTTCGGCGGTCTCAACGGCGATTTTGATTTGGTTCGATTTTTTTTTTCTTCGTAACAGTTCGACCGCGATCATCGTCACGCACGTGGTCGGGAACTGGCCCTCGAGGGTGGTTTTTGGCGTGCGGTTTATTGTTTTAAGGGCAGTTTCATCTCGTCGGTGGGTTATTTTTTCTTCCGTTTGAAGCATATTTATTTTTGGTTTAACGCGTAGGCTTTCACGAGCAATGTCACCCATCACAGAGGTTTTTTTTTTGGGGGGGGGGGGGGGTTAGAGCGCGTAAATATATAAATGTTGTGTCGTTAAAAGCCGCCACCACCCGACACAGCCAACTAGTAAGGGGTTGTCACGTAAACAGAACGTGGCCAGATTCGTCACTAGTACAGCATCACCGGTGTGTTGAAGAGCCAAGCCACAACATTAACAATCTGAGCACGACGTTTCGCCAGTAATTAATGCCAACACACCGGTGATGCTGTACTAGTTAGGAATTGGCCACGTTCTGTTCACGTGACAACCCTTACTAGTTGGCTGTGTCGGGTGGTGGCGGGTTTTAACGGCACATTTATTTATTTATTTACGCGATCTAACCACAAAAAAACTCTATTATGAATGACATTTATTTTGTTACGTAATATATCTTCGCCCGTTGCCTCTTGCTAGCTGAACAGTCGAGACACTTCCTTTCCAGGAATTACATAATAACTCTTGTGCATTTACAATTTTCCCAGAGCGGCAATTTGAATTCTTTACTTGGCCTTTGCTTGACGCCGTATTGAATAGTTGAGCAGATTTAGCCTGGATTCGTGCAACTTTAATTGTATGTAAATAGTCAGCGCACTTTAACGTCTTCACGTAACGGGAGGTCACCGCCGTTTACAAAGAGGCAGCGGCGTTCCACGTGCCGCCAACATTAAACCAACAATTTGGTGATGCTGATGCTGCGTTGTCAGTGGGGCACTTGGACAAGTAATAACAATAACAGCAACAACTCAACAAATTCGTGAATAACAGTGTGGCTTTAAAATGAAAAAATATATGCAGGGTGGCCCAAAAGTCAGAACGCATATGGTTATATCATTCATGTTAACACTGGCATTACACAATTTAATGGTTTATTCTTTAAGTTAACATTGTATATATTATCAGTATTAATATATCTACAGTGAGGGAAAAAAGTATTTGATCCCCTGCTAATTTTGTACGTTTGCCTACTGACAAAGAAATGATCAGTCTATAATTTTAATGGTAGGTATATTTGAACAGTGAGAGACAGAATAACAACAAGAAAATCCAGAAAAATGCATGTCAAAAATGTTATGAATTGATTTGCATTTTAATGAGGGAAATAAGTATTTGACCCCTCTGCAAAACATGACTTAGTATTTGGTGGCAAAACCCTTGTTGGCAATCACAGAGGTCAGACGTTTCTTGTAGTTGTCCTACACAAGGCTGGAATGGGCTACAAGACCATTGCCAAACAGCTTGGTGAGAAGGTGACAACAGTTGGTGCGATTATTCGCAAATGGAAGAAACACAAAAGAACTGTCAATCTCCCTCGGCCTGGGGCTCCATGCAAGATCTCACCTCGTGGAGTTGCAATGATCATGAGAACGGTGAGGAATCAGCCCAGAACTACACGGGAGGATCTTGTCAATGATCTCAAGGCAGCTGGGACCATAGTCACCAAGAAAACAATTGGTAACACACTACGCCGTGAAGGACTGAAATCCTGCAGCGCCCGCAAGGTCCCCCTGCTCAAGAAAGCACATATACATGCCCGTCTGAAGTTTGCCAATGAACATCTGAATGATTCAGAGGACAACTGGGTGAAAGTGTTGTGGTCAGATGAGACAAAAATGGAGCTCTTTGGCATCAACTCAACTCGCCGTGTTTGGAGGAGGAGGAATGGTGCATATGACCCCAAGAACACCATCCCCACCGTCAAACATGGAGGTGGAAACATTATGCTTTGGGGGTGTTTTTCTGCTAAGGGGACAGGACAACTTCACCGCATCAAAGGGACGATGGACGGGGCCATGTACCGTCAAATCTTGGGTGAGAACCTCCTTCCCTCAGCCAGGGCATTGAAAATGGGTTGTGGATGGGTATTCCAGCATGACAATGACCCAAAACACACGGCAAAGAGGAGTGGGACAAAATCCCTCCTGAGATGTGTGCAAACCTGGTGGCCAACTACAAGAAACGTCTGACCTCTGTGATTGCCAACAAGGGTTTTGCCACCAAGTACTAAGTCATGTTTTGCAGAGGGGTCAAATACTTATTTCCCTCATTAAAATGCAAATCAATTTAGAACATTTTTGACATGCGTTTTTCTGAGATTTTTTGTTGTTATTCTGTCTCTCACTGTTCAAATAAACCTACCATTAAAATTATAGACTGATAATTTCTTTGTCAGTGGGCAAACGTACAAAATCAGCAAGGGATCAAATACTTTTTTCCCTCACTGTATGGTTATTTGTCTTCCTATGGGGGGTCACCTCAAATCCCTTGTTAACAAAACTCGACCAAGAATCCCGAAATGATTAAGGCTTCAAAACACAATTGATGAATGCTCAAAGATTACACAGCGGTAATCTTTAGAAAAGTCCTACATTCGTTTCCAAAGATAATTCACGCATGAAATGTCAATGGAAGTCAGTTTGAACATTTGCTAAAAAAAACTTATGTAAATAACCCTATGTGATTTCTTGATTTTCTGACTTTTGGGCCGCGTCTGCACCATGCGCACGCGTGGATTCTATTGTCGATGCTCTTGACTTTCGAATCGGTAACCGGGTCAAGAGAAACGCTGAGATGGCTTTGTCCTAATGTTCGTGTGTCCCTCTGAAGCTGTCCGAAGCACGATGAACAGACATTGAAATGGCATTGTCCTGGTACTGGCGTGTCTAAAGCACGGTGTAGAGACATTGAGGTGGCATTGTTCCGGTGCTTGTATCTTTGAATCACGGTGTAGAGACATTGAGGTGGCATTGTTCCGGTGCTTGTATCTTTGAAGCACGGTGTAGAGACATTGAGGTGGCATTGTTCCGGCACCGGTATCTCTGAGGCCACTCTGGTGCCCGTGGTCCCCTGTGCACGTCGTACTGTATTGCCGCGTGCAGATGAAGCGATGGCGGACCAGCGCATGGACATCAGCTCAACGATGAGCGAGTTCCTGGCGCCTGGCTCCTCGGGGCTGATGCCCCGCACGCTCAGCAGCGCCGCCCTCGACTTCAACCGCAAGCGGCGCGGCAGCTCCCCCGACTACGAGTACGCGAGACGGTGCCCGCGCGAGAGCGCGCACGCCGCGTCGTTGTTATTACCGCCGTCGTGATTGTCGTTCCAAGACTCATTTTCAGGAGGGTACTCGCCGTGTTCGGGGCGGTGATGTCGTTGCCGCTGCTGTGTGTGATATCAGGATTGAGCGGATTTTTTTTTGTTCCAGGTTATTTTTTGCAGCATTGGGATGTTTGGCCGACACCGGCCGTGTTGTTTGGTTGCGTTTTTTTTTTGTTGCGATGGGAGGAGACGGGAGAAAGCCATGGGGAAATGGCGCGAGACTGTATAAAGTCCACACAGATAGGTGCCCGGGTCAGGAATCGAACCCAGGAAATTTCTTGCTGCGAGGCGCAAGTGGTAGCGCGCTGGGCCACGCTTTCCTTATGTGCGGTGTAGTGTCCTCCAGAGCAGCGCGCAAGCTGACTTTGTTTGGGTTAACCGAGTGTGAGAGAACTCAAGAGACGAGGATCGGCTCGTTTCACCAAACCGACAAAAGCTATGACGTGAACAAAAATTACTTAAGCGCAACACTGAAACAAATGAGTTTTTTTTTTAGCAAAACACAACCGAGCAGAAACCAAATCAGAGACATTCAAATAGAAATCAGAGCAGAGACAACCGCGTGACAGAAGACATCGGAAAGACTTAAGTTCGCTGTGGGAAATTACTTTCCCCAAAAAAAAAACGATTCACAGTCGTAAAATTAAGCAACGCGAACAACGCCGCAGGTTCACGGCGGTTCGTGCGCCCGTGCGTACACGGGCATAAAGGATGGGCGTCCCTACAAATACGAACAAATTAATATTGTGCATCAAGAGTACCTCGTGGTTTGAAACGTCGCAACTCACGGGACATTAGCGTAAAATATTGAAGTCGATTTTGTGTGTGTGTGTGTGTCGTCACTGTGAAGGTTGCCCCGCCCAAAAAAAATGAAAGTTTTATATAAAAAAGTCAGCAAATTGTTACGAGGTTAAGCGGACGGAAATAAATAAGTTATGAAGCTGTTGCAAAAAAATTCACCCGCTTTTTAAGATGCGGGGATGAAGAGTGGGGGTGGCGAGGATAGTGATAGGCATAGTGGGAGAGGGGAGAGAGGTGAGAGAGGTGAGGGAGGTGAGAGAGGGGAGAGAGGTGAGAGAGGTGAGAAAGGGGAGAGAGGGGAGAGAGTGGAGAGAGGAGAGAGAGGGGAGAGAGGTGAGAGAAGGGAGAGAGGTGAGGGAGGTGAGAGAGGTGAGAGAGGGGAGAGGGGTGAGAGAGGTGAGAGTGGAGAGAGAGGGGAGAGTGGAGAGAGGGGGGAGGGGGGAGAGTGGAGAGAGAGGGGAGAGTGGAGAGAGTGGAGAGAGAGGTGAGAGGGAGAGAGAGGGGAGAGAGGTGAGAGAGGGGAGAGAGGGGAGAGAGTGGAGAGAGGGGAGAGAGGTGAGAGAGGTGAGAGAGGGGAGAGAGGGGAGAGTGGAGAGAGTGGAGAGAGAGGGGAGAGTGGAGAGAGGGGGGAGAGTGGAGAGAGAGGGGAGAGTGGAGAGAGTGGAGAGAGAGGTGAGTGTGGAGAGAGAGGGGAGAGAGGGGAGAGAGGTGAGAGAGGGGAGAGAGGGGAGAGTGGTGAGAGAGGGGAGAGCGGTGAGAGAGGGGAGAGAGGGGAGAGTGGAGAGAGAGGTGAGAGACGGGAGAGAGGTGAGAGAGGTGAGAGAGAGACGGCTGACGCCGCCTTGTTGTACGTTGAACTTCCTTCGCAGCGTACGTAGCCAACCAAACACAAACAGAAGTCCTAACTGAAATGAGTTTTCAATCCGGACGATATAAAAGTGCGTGGCTCCTGGTGGCTTCCCTGCTGTCGGAAGGCGGGGAAGGCAGAGCCGACGGTCGAGGCTGCCGACGGAGTGAGAGGCAAAGGAGGGGAAAGGCACGCCACCAGTGCGAACGCCACCAGAGCGAACGCCCGCCGAGGGAGACGAAGCAACGAAAATCCCGCTCCGGCGCGCGTGGCCGGGAAGGCGCCCGGCCGGATCGCTGCGCGCGTCGAGGAAATCCTTGGTCCGGCAGTGGCTAGGTGGTGGCTCGTCATCGCCGGCGTCCGAGGGGCAACGAAACGGAGACGGCGAAACAAAAAAACAAACGGCGCCTGGCACGTGGGAGGTCACGTGGGTTCGATCCCTGACCCTCAGGGCCTGCTGTGTTCTTTTAACGTTGTCCCCCGTGGTCGCGGTGGATTTTTTCTCCGGGTCCTCCGGGTTTTCCCCTCCACATTTACGACGCGACATCGCGCGCTTAGGACCATTTGGCTGCCACTGTGAATTGCTATAAATCTCCGCACGACGACGATGAGCAACGCCCATTGAGCTATCATTTGTGACGGCGAGGTCGCTTCTGTTGGCGTGTTCCTCGGCCCGTTGCCGCGTGGATTTTCTCTCCGGTTTTCCCCTCCACGTTTGGAATCAACACGCGTTCAGAGCATTTGGCCGCTATAAATGTCCACACGATGATGAGCCACTTCGTTGGGCTATCATTTGTGGCCAGGTCGCTTCTGCAAAAAAAAGCTACGTAACTCAGTGGGCCTAACCTGGTAAAATGAAAAAAATAGTAAAGTTTTAGTTTAGTTGAAATCGGTCATTTAATTCGGCTATTTCACGCGACATTGAAATCGGATGGTGTCCTACATTTAAATGACCGGGAAGCCGGCTTATTAAAAAAATATACATTTCGGTGTCACGTAATGTGTGCGTCACACGTGGCATTGAAATAGATGAAAGGCATTGTGCGAGAAGGTCTTTAAAACAAACAATGAGGACATGAATACAGCGGCGTCAATGGAGTAATACAAAGAAAAGTAATAATGAATTATATTATATATAAATATATAAACACCCACACGGCGCTGTGACCTAGATATTATTGCGGAAATATAAAAGGGGCTTTCTTGAAGCCACACAAATGACCGAGCTCAGCGCCTACACGGAATTGCCTTCCCCCCCCCCCCACCCCTTAAAATTACCGAAATGTCATTGGCGAACAATGCCTCGAAGATACATTTCCGACGCACAATCAGCTCTCGATCATCCGGGGTAATAGAGGGGAGAGGAGCGTGGGATCACACGGCCCGCATAAAACAAAAACACGCTAAGTCAGGCTTCGGATACACGATTATTCTTCAACGATATACTAAACTAAACTATTTTTTGGGAAATCTGTTTTTTTTCCAACCAGGTAAGGCCCACTGAGCTATATTGCTTTTTTCAGAAGCGACCAGGCTTATCGTCACGTGGAAATTCATAGCCGCAAAATACTCAAAACAATTGACGATCCTGAATGCCGAGGGACAAACCGGAGGACCCGGAGAAAAAAACCACGCTACCACGTGGAGAGAAAGAGGCACACACAAACTCCACATATGCAGCGGCAGGCAGCGGCAGGGTCGGGATCGAACCCACGAGGTGGTTAACCTCTCGCCACCGTGGCGCCCCGGCATGAAGACTCACTGGTCATCCAGAGGAGACCGCTTCACTCCCGTGTCCAGGCACGGCGGGTGGATCACCGATTAACTTGTTACCCAAATTACCTCGGCTGCATCCCGGTGTAACCGATTCCGCCGGTGTCATTTTTGCCGATTCGGCAAACGGTTACCGGTTTTGCAGCGGTGACCGGTTATAACAGCTCTGTATAACAGCTCTGAAATTGTGCTACGTGGCGCTGGCGTTCGCAGCTGCTCTCCGCTGCGCAGGTGTGTGCGTGGCTGTTGCCTCCGAAATTTTGAGACGCACCCACAACGTTTGCTTTGAAATACGGTGGGGCGGGAAGGGTGAGGGGGTGGTGGTGAGGGTTGGAAGTGTTTCTCATTTACCCGGAGACCACGGCAACGGTTCAATTCCCGCAGTTGGTCAGTAGCCCGAGGTGGCCAGGAGGTGGCGGTGCAGCACTGGATTCTTGAGTCCATCCGTGCGAGGCGGCGCTATCCACTGGCACGTGAATCAAATTGGCCAAACATTCCAATGTAGCGGTGACCCTCCCGAATAATAATAATAACGCTCCTCCTTTGACCCGGCGAGGCTTTGGCAGATTAGTAACCGCGGTAGGGTGAGAAAACTGGACACCGCGTCCGGAGGCGACAGGACTCTCCCGAGGACACATCGAGAGACGGATGAAACGCGCCGTGATGCCAGTGGATTTATATTTTCTCCGTGAAAGAAGACAAAAAAACGGTCCGTTTGAGCACGAGAGCGCGCCGTCCCGACGTTGTTCGCGTATTAACGAATGAAACGCCCTGTCTCTTGTCTCCCCTTCTCACGTCGCCCTCAGCCTGGATGGCTTTTCATTCGAGTGAGTAGTTCCCTTCTCACCGCTATCACCGCTCGCCACACACTCACCTCTCTCCTCCCACTCGTCGTCGTCGTCGGCGGCGGAGTTATCCTCGCGCAGATGTCGTGAGAATCCCTTCCCGCGGGCGTCGAGGACGAGCCGTATCGGAAGGCCGTGCGGTAAACTCTTGACTCGCCGCCGTCTGCGTGGATGGGATATGGTAGTGCCCCCTCGCACACACCGTGGGATTTCTCCAGACACTCTGGATCCCACCCCACCCCCCCCCCCCCCCCGCATGAACGCTCGTCAATTGGCTGAAAACATCTTAAAACGCAGAGGATTGCAGAGCTTGGGTAATTGCCAGCTCGCCGTGTGGCCGCTGCCTTCTCCGTCCATCCGTGGTTCCGATCCTCTCGCTCGCTCTCTCTCTCTCAACGAGAGCGAGGAGCGAACGCCGTTGCGTCGATGGGTTGGCGGCTCAGTGCTGCAGGGTCGATGTTATCATCATGTGCACGAGTGTCGTCGAAGCCTCTCGCCACTCAGCGCGCTCACTCGCACCCCAACCCACGCAGCACCCCCTCCTCCCCTTGTCGGGACATGAGGACGCGCGCGTGTCGGGGAGCGGCGGCGCAGCGGTGAGCGCGCTGCGCGAACGAACCCGGCGCGCCGAGTTCGATTCCCGCTCGCGGCCAACACCGGGCGGCGATTATCTGAAGCGGTGCTGGGGGCCTCTCCGAGGTCGACTCGGACTCAAAACGACTACCTTGTGCGGTGTGTGAAAAAAATAATATCGCCACTAGGGAGACAAAGGCGGCCGGGCGTGGCGTTGGCCACCCACCCCCTTCGTGTGCCCGTGCCGGCCTTCACAGGCGCCGCTCGCTAACAGCACTTGCCCCCTGCGGTCTGTTAATACGATACGGGGGATCTCTGTATTTGTGTGTACACTTGACTTGTTGGCAGGGACTGCATGGACACGGACAGAGACGACCAACTCAACAGGTACCAATCTTGATTTGAAGCTTTCGTGACTGCAGGAAATCATACTCTTTGGTTATTTCGGTAAAGTCACGCAGGCATCGGAGGGACCCCGCTTGCTTGCCCATCGCCACGTATGTTGTTGTAGCAACTCTCTCGCTGGTTCAGCAGTTTCCACTGCTGGATTATATTTCTTTCCCGCCTGAGGACGACCGCTTGTGTTGCGATCGAAACGTCGTGATTTATTTTTATTTTAGAACCTACGTGACTTTACCGAAAGAACCAAAGAGTATTGACAGGTACCGTGCGTCAATTATTGTGCGACGCTGTTGCTGATGCGGCCCAGTTAACACGAAAACATAAACTCAACACACTTGTCGAGTGTGTTGAGTCAATTTTATTTCTATTAAGTAGGTGTTGTTGACAAGTGTGTTAAATATTTTGCTAACAAGTGCTCTCTGTTAAGTGCACACACACATATTGGGCTGGTACTGCCACTGCCATCAAACTAAAACTGAACTCAGTTTAACACGTAGGCTTTCGCGACCAATATTATTCACAATAAAGGTTTTTCGGTTAGATCGCGTCATTTATAAATGTGTCGTAACCCTCCACCACCCGACACGGCCAATCAGCAAAAAAGTGTCACGTTGACAAAAGACCAAATAGTTCACTACTTTAGCCCACCGGTGTGTTGAAGAGTGAATCCACAACATTTACAGTAATCCACAACATTTACAGTTTGAGTACTCAAACTGTAAATGTTGCTTCAACATCTGCAAAGAGGAGTGGGACAGAATCCCTCCTGAGATGTGTGCAAACCTGGTGGCCAACTACGAGAAACGTCTGACCTCTGTGATTGCCAACAAGGGTTTTGCCAGCAAGTACTAAGTCATGTTTTTCAGAGGGGTAAAATACTTATTTCCCTTATTAAAATGCAAATCAATTTATAACATTTTTGACATGCGTTTTTCTGGATTTTGTTGTTGTTATTTTGTCTCTCACTGTTCAATTAAACCTACCATTAAAATTGTAGACTGATCATTTCTTTGTCAGTGGGCAAACGTACAAAATCAGCAGGGGATCAAATACTTTTTTTCCCTCACTGTATATGCCTCCTGAGCCATAACTCTCATTCAAAAGCGACCTGCCTATCGCAAGTGATAGCCCAACGAAGTGGCTTATCGTGTGGAAATTTATAGCAGCCAAATAATATAACGGTATTATCGTTTATGTATTTAAAATAATTAAAATACACGTTTATTAGTTTGAGTAGAGAACCCATTTGTTGCTCTGCTAGTGGTAAATAAGAGTCCAGCTGTCATGGTTCATACACTTCCCACAATCCTCCTGTACTCGGAGCACTACAAGCAAACCAAAGATTAGTTTTTAACATATATATAACACGTAATAATAAAACGGCAAGAGAAACGTGCATTGGCAGGGTAAACGTAACTCTGCGCGTACAGGACACGGGGCACCGATAGGATGGGACTGGAGATGGAGCGATGCAATCAGCTCCTTGCGCAGGTGGCTTTAGGCGTATTTTTGTTTTGACGATCGTTGATAAGTGACGGGATCGCGAGAGTGGCTGGCCGGCGACTTGACGAGGCCCCCCATCCAGCAGCGGATTGATCGTGGCTGACGACTGCGACAAGTTATTACTTTTTGTATTCACGCCGCGTGTTTTTCTTACTTTATTTTCAGAGTGGAAGGCACGGATCAGCAGTGCAGAAACAAATACTCCAAGTAAGAAGGACGACTCTCGTGTCACTGCTGCTTATCGGATTCCTCCAGTTTCAATAAATATTCCGATTCTGATGTAACCTCTAGCTCGTTGTGCGGAGGTGGTGGTGGTAGAGACGCATTTATCTCCTGGGAAAACGTGAACCACACGAAGGCAACGCTCCTGGGAGTGGTTACTGCCGAATCGTTTCGCTCCCCTTGGGGACCATCCATTGAGTAAGTACGCAAACAAAATCTGTCAAAACTTGACCACCCCCCCCCCTCCTCCCTGTACGCACGCGGACTTTTTACACCCCCCCCCCGTCCCCCGATTCCTATAGAACGGCCGATATTTAATCCACGCAGAAACGATCAAGGATTAATAATATTAACGTGTTTCAGCAAACAGATAGTCCACCGCCGGCTGCATTAAATAATTCAGTTTGCGTACCTTGGCCACTTTATTTTGCTGAGCTGCGTGATAGCTCGCAGTCAGAGGGGCACGGTGGCACGCGAGTGACACCTCTCTCACAGTCCCACCACTCCCGGCAGTACTTGCTGTCTGACAGCTGAAGAAACTGAACTGTGGCTCATTTTAAGGCCAATGTAGACAAATTATTATCGAGGCTTCACGCCCCCCCCCCCCCCCCCCCCCCCCCCCCCCCCCCCCCCCCCCCCCCCCCCCCCCAGTTTCCTATGCGTACATTGTCAGTAGACACCCACCCTCCTCCCCCCTCCATGCGTACGGACTAAATGGATGGCCCGCGGAGCGGCGTTGCAGATTGGAAGCGCGGCTTCCCCGGTCAGCGTCGCGAGACGGTCGGCACCGCGTTGAGCGGCGGAAACCACTTCCGAAATCTCGACTCGGGCGGCCCTCTCGATGCAGTCGGCACGGGGAGAGAGGCGCTCGCCGTCGAATGTGGCCAGCGCGCGGACGGCGAGCGTCCTCGTCCTGGGCGTTGACCGCTCGTCGAAGCGCTGGAAACTCGCGTCGAGCTCAGGAAGGGGGCGAAATTGAACGGACGACGACGAAACCGTGCCCCAGCCATCGGTGAGCTCGTTCATTGGCAGCCACTCAATGACGGAGCCGCGATTTTCAGGTAGGGTAGAGGGAGAGTGGCAACCCCTCCAGCGATGAAAGATGATAGAGGAGTTGTTAGTAAGTAAGGAGTTGTTAGGACTTGTCCCTGGCTTTTTTATTCCACGACGCGTTTGCGGCGACGTCGAGGTGTCGAGTTCGAACTGCGTGGTGTGATCGGCATCGCGCTCGCTGAAGGTGTCGATGCCTTCAGGGAAGTCGTGAACTCTGTATACACGCAACTGCGCACAATTCTGTGAGTCGCTTATAACCGCTTCGCCGTTACTTATTGCCAATTATGAACTCGCACGATCGTCCTATCGTCTCATAGAGGCCCTGGCACGTAATAATAATATGCTACACAGTGGCAGTGGGGGTCGCAAAATGCCGATTAATTACTAATAAACCCCAATGATCCGATCGAAATTAGGGATTTCAAATCTCAGCCGTGCTCCAACCACGCTTTCAGTGTGCTGCTCACTGGTGGCGCTTGCCCTCAACAGCCAGTTGAGGCTGCACGGTGGACCCTTGCGTGCGCGTGTCTGTGCTCGCGTGCTCGCTGGCGCTGTGTGCCCGCCAGGGAGGCTCACAGTCAGATCGAGAAGCGGCGGCGGGACAAGATGAACAGCTACATCGACGAGCTGGCGTCCATGGTGCCCACGTGCAGCGCCATGTCGCGCAAGCTGGACAAGCTCACGGTGCTGCGCATGGCGGTGCAGCACATGAAGACGCTGCGCGGTGAGGCACCGGGACGCGGTGGCGGCGGTGGCGGCGGCAGCGCCGCAGGCCGGGACGGGCGCGCGCAAAAACCGCGGTCGCCTTAAGCCCGGTTTTAGAGACACGCGGGGAGCTCAAGTCTGGCTTAGTGAGACACGCGGGGAGCTCAAGTCTGGCTTAGTGAGACACGCGGGGAGCTCAAGTATGGCTTAGTGAGACACGGGGGAGCTCAAGTCTGGCTTAGTGAGACACGGGGGAGCTCTAAGTCTGGCTTAGTGAGACACGGGGGAGCTCAAGTCTGGCTTAGTGAGACACGGGGGAGCTTAAGTCTGGCTTAGTGAGACACGGGGGAGCTTAAGTCTGGCTTAGTGAGACACGGGGGGAGTTCAAGTCTGGCTTAGTGAGACACGGGGGAGCTTAAGTCTGGCTTAGTGAGACACGGGGGAGCTCAAGTCTGGCTTAGTGAGACACGGGGGAGTTCAAGTCTGGCTTAGTGAGACACGGGGGAGCTTAAGTCTGGCTTAGTGAGACACGGGGGAGCTTAAGTCTGGCTTAGTGAGACACGGGGGGAGTTCAAGTCTGGCTTAGTGAGACACGGGGGAGCTTAAGTCTGGCTTAGTGAGACACGGGGGAGCTCAAGTCTGGCTTAGTGAGACACGGGGGAGTTCAAGTCTGGCTTAGTGAGACACGGGGGAGCTTAAGTCTGGCTTAGTGAGACACGGGGGAGCTTAAGTCTGGCTTAGTGAGACACGGGGGGAGTTCAAGTCTGGCTTAGTGAGACACGGGGGAGCTTAAGTCTGGCTTAGTGAGACACGGGGGAGCTCAAGTCTGGCTTAGTGAGACACGGGGGAGCTCAAGTCTGGCTTAGTGAGACACGGGGGGAGTTCAAGTCTGGTTTAGTGAGACACGCGGGAGCTCAAGTCTGGCTTAGTGAGACACGGGGGGAGTTCAAGTCTGGTTTAGTGAGACACGGGGGAGCTCAAGTCTGGTTTAGTGAGACACGGGGGAGCTCAAGTCTGGTTTAGTGAGACACGGGGGGAGTTCAAGTCTGGTTTAGTGAGACACGCGGGAGCTCAAGTCTGGCTTAGTGAGACACGGGGGAGCTCAAGTCTGGCTTAGTGAGACACGGGGGGAGTTCAAGTCTGGTTTAGTGAGACACGGGGGGACCTCAAGTCTGGTTTAGTGAGACACGGGGGAGCTCAAGTCTGGTTTAGTGAGACACGGGGGAGCTCAAGTCTGGTTTAGTGAGACACGGGGGGACCTCAAGTCTGGCTTAGTGAGACACGGGGGGACCTCAAGTCTGGCTTAGTGAGACACGGGGGGAGTTCAAGTCTGGTTTAGTGAGACACGGGGGAGCTCAAGTCTGGTTTAGTGAGACACGGGGGAGCTTAAGTTTAGCTTAGTGAGACACGGGGGAGCTCAAGTCTGGCTTAGTGAGACACGGGGGGAGTTCAAGTCTGGTTTAGTGAGACACGGGGGACCTCAAGTCTGGTTTAGTGAGACACGCGGGAGCTCAAGTCTGGCTTAGTGAGACACGGGGGGAGCTCAAGTCTGGTTTAGTGAGACACGGGGGAGCTCAAGTCTGGCTTAGTGAGACACGGGGGAGTTCAAGTCTGGCTTAGTGAGACACGGGGGAGCTTAAGTCTGTCTTAGTGAGACACGGGGGAGCTCAAGTCTGGTTTAGTGAGACACGGGGGGAGCTTAAGTCTGTCTTAGTGAGACACGGGGGAGTTCAAGTCTGGTTTAGTGAGACACGGGGGAGCTCAAGTCTGGCTTAGTGAGACACGGGGGAGTTCAAGTCTGGTTTAGTGAGACACGGGGGAGCTTAAGTCTGTCTTAGTGAGACACGGGGGAGCTCAAGTCTGGCTTAGTGAGACACGGGGGAGCTCAAGTCTGGCTTAGTGAGACACGGGGGAGTTCAAGTCTGGTTTAGTGAGACACGGGGGAGCTCAAGTCTGGCTTAGTGAGACACGGGGGGACCTCAAGTCTGGTTTAGTGAGACACGGGGGGACCTCAAGTCTGGTTTAGTGAGACACGGGGGGACCTCAAGTCTGGTTTAGTGAGACACGGGGGGACCTCAAGTCTGGTTTAGTGAGACACGGGGGAGCTCAAGTCTGGTTTAGTGAGACACGGGGGGAGCTCAAGTCTGGCTTAGTGAGACACGGGGGACCTCAAGTCTGGCTTAGTGAGACACGGGGGAGCTCAAGTTTAGCTTAGTGAGACACGGGGGGAGCTCAAGTATGGCTTAGTGAGACCCGGGGGACCTCAAGTCTGGCTTAGTGAGACACGGGGGACCTCAAGTCTGGCTTAGTGAGACACGGGGGAGCTCAAGTTTAGCTTAGTGAGACACGGGGGGAGCTCAAGTATGGCTTAGTGAGACACGGGGGACCTCAAGTCTGGCTTAGTGAGACACGGGGGGAGCTCAAGTCTGGCTTAGTGAGACACGGGGGAGCTCAAGTTTAGCTTAGTGAGACACGGGGGGACCTCAAGTCTGGCTTAGTGAGACACGGGGGGAGCTCAAGTCTGGTTTAGTGAGACACGGGCGGAGCTTAAGTCTGGCTTAGTGAGACACGGGGGGACCTCAAGTCTGGTTTAGTGAGACACGGGGGACCTCAAGTCTGGCTTAGTGAGACACGGGGGAGCTCAAGTCTGGCTTAGTGAGACACGAGGGGAGCTCAAGTCTGGCTTAGTGAGACACGGGGGAGCTCAAGTCTGGCTTAGTGAGACAGGGAGAGCTTAAGTCTGGTTTAGTGAGACACGAGGAGGCCTAAGTCTGGCTTAGTGAGACACGGGGAGGCCTAAGTCTGGCTTAGTGAGACACGGGGAGAGCTTAAGTCTGGCTTAGTGAGACACGAGGAGGCCTAAGTCTGGCTTAGTGAGACACGGGGAGGCCTAAGTCTGGCTTAGTGAGACACGGGGAGAGCTTAAGTCTGGCTTAGTGAGACACGAGGAGGCCTAAGTCTGGCTTAGTGAGACAGGGAGAGCTTAAGTCTGGTTTATTAAAAAATCTACTTTCGTTTCTAATAGTTTCTTTCCAAGCCCGCATCTTTGCGCCCACTCTTCAGTTTTCTCCCCCCTCTCGCACTATAATTTCCCACCGATGGCCGCGTGCTCTTCATTCGCAGGCGCCACTAACGTGTACACGGAGGCCAACTACAAACCGGCGTTTCTGTCCGACGACGAGCTCAAAAATCTGATCCTGCGGGTGAGTGGTCGTGCTGCTGCCAACGCCGCGGGAAGGCATAGCCGAGAGTCGGCAAACTCTCTCCCGACGATCGGGGCAAGCCGCCCGTTTCATGTTTCAGTTTATTTATTTTGGTATAGCCCTGTGAGCCATTCGGCTCTTGAATCGGGTGCAACCACAACAAACAAAAAAACTAAAAACACGAACAAGAAAAACATCTTAAAGTGACTATGTGACTGTGCAAACAGAAAATCCAGAAAAAAACATCAAAATATTCCTGTTGGACCAGATAACGCCAAAAGGCGTCGTACGCTCTAAGAAAAGCCGTCTCGGGTGTGGACCAATCAATTTCAAGGACAGTGCATATCATCAGAGTTGTCTCTTTTTGCATTTTGACTGCTTGTGGTGTGGTTATTGCAAACATGATCCCTTGTATAAAGGCGTCAGTTTTGGTGCCAGATAAAAGGGTAAAAACCTATTACTATATCTTGCTACTGGCAAAGGAGGTCTCATAATGAGATTTTGTTTGTTTTGCGCGTGAATATACACGTGTCGTTAAACTCGCCACCAGCCGACACAGCCAATTAGTGAGGTTTGTCACGTAAACAACGCGCAAATTAGTTACTACTTCAGCCCACTGGTGTGGTAGATGGTAAATCCACAACATTTACAATTTGAGTCGTACGACGTTTCGCTGGTAATTACATCCACCAGCATCATCGCCCAATGATGTTGGATGTAATTACGAGCGAAACTGGCTGTCGGGTGGTGGAGGGTTACGACACATTTATACTAACGCGATCTAACCCAAAAACCTTTCACTATGAATATTATTGGCCGCGAAACCCTACGTGTTAAATAATAATAACGATAATGTGCACTTATTAACGTCTCAAGACGCCAGATCGTCAGGTGGCCTGACCAGGAAAAATCAACTCCCGAGTCGACGGGTGAATTGTTGCGTCTTTGTCTCCAGGCCTCCGAGGGGTTCCTCTTCGTGGTCGGATGTGATCGTGGGAAAATCCTCTTCGTCTCAGAGTCGGTCTCCAAGATCCTAAACTTCGGCCAGGTAAAGCTCGCGCTGGACATTTCTCACGGAGGAGCGCTGCGCGTCGCAACTTTGGTGCGAGGGAACGGCCCGCGGAAGTGAATGTCGCAGAGCCACCTCCGGGAGGTACAAATTTGGCGCCCGCCTCTGCCGTGCGAGAGCGGCGGTGGGGCCAGCTTGTTTTCATTCTCAGAGCCACTATCTTCGGGCAAATTATGCAGAAGCAACTTGAATTGTGATGCTCGTTTTATTGTTGTTGTTGTTGTGTGCAGCGATGGACAGGACTCACGAGATTGAGCAATATCAAATGTTCTTACTTATTGGTGACCGCGCTGAGACCACCAAATCACTAGACCTGAGAACCCGATTTAATCACAAGCAGGTGCCTGGCTTCGAACTCCAGGATCCCAGCAATGCCATCCAAGTGGTTGTGAACCTCTGTGCCACTGCCTTGATGTGGCTTTGCCAAACATCATCCCCGTATTTACCGTTGACGGGCGCGAGAGACCAAGCCGCTTTAGATGTGGCCAAAATATCCCAAAGCAGGATCCTCCTGCACGGCAGTGTCTGAGACTCAACGAGGCTTGGCAGCGTAATTGATTGACACCGTTCTTCCCGGTTCCAATCCGGCAGGCCGCCCCGGTTAATACTGCGCGTGCATCAACCACAAAACCCGCGCCCGTCGACTTCACGAGGACGGCCATCACGTGCCGGCGTCGTGGGGCAAACGTGCCAAATTCTAAAAATCACACGGCAAATGACTCAACGGGCATCACACACACAGACACACGGAGCAGCAATCATCGCCCATCCACTGGCGGAAGAATGCTCGCTCGCAGGCCAAGTGCCGAGCCGCCCTTGTGCTGCACGGGGACGGCTGCCGCTGGGGGTGCCCCCTTTCGAATGTTCGACACGCGATGCGACGCGCCGCGCTTTGCATGAGCCGAGGCTTGTACAGCAAGCGCCATGCAAGTGCCGAGAATATTGTTATTATAATTATTGTGTTACTGCTATGCAATGCCGTGTGTGTGCAGAATGACCTGATTGGGCAGAGTCTCTTTGACTACCTTCATCCCAAGGACATTGCCAAGGTGAAGGAACAGCTGTCCTCGTCAGACACGGCTCCTAGGGAGAGGCTTATAGACGCTAAGAGTGAGTGCGGGGTAGCATCTTCATCATTACTCAATTGGGATTACACACGGCAGCAATCTTCGCCCCCATACCGGCAGAGCAATGTCCGCTCGCAGACCCGGTGCTGAGTCATCTTGTGCCGCACAGAGACAGCTGCCACTTGGTGGGGGGGGGGGCGCGGGGGGGGGGGGTGCCCTTGCGAATGCGCTGGGTTGGGATGCAAAGTCGCTCGCCGCGCTTAAAGCATCTCGGAGACGCAGCGGCGTGAAGGAGGGCGACTATCAAAAACACCGTCGTCGTGATCATCTTGCCGTAAGACGCACCCCACAAAAATTTGGGGTCGGTTTGAAAAAAAAAATCTATACGGGGGGAGGGAGGGCGGGGTGTGGGGGTGGAAAAAAGTTTATCGTTACGGAGAATAACAACGGCGTCTGTGTTGTTACTAACGCAGTTCAGATTAGCAGTTGGATAGGTACGGTGCGAAAGAAGTTCTGCGTACATACGCACGTTATCAGCCCCCCAGTTTAAGTCACGGTGAGCTACTGGTGTTCACATCGTGAGGGAATCCGTTCGGAAAACTCACAAAGCATTGTAATCCCGTGCGTGCGTGTATGTGTATCTGTGTGTGTATATCTGTGTGTATGTATATCTGTATATCTGTGTGTATGTATATCTGTGTGTATGTATATCTGTGTGTATGTATATCTGTGTATGTATATCTGTATATGTATATCTGTGTATGTATATCTCTGTATGTATATCTGTGTGTTTGTATATCTGAATATCTGTGTGTATGTATATCTGTGTGTATGTATATCTGTATATGTGTGTATGTATATCTGTATATGTGTGTATGTATATCTGTGTGTATGTATATCTGTGTATGTGTATCTGTGTATGTATATCTGTGTGTATGTATATCTGTGTATGTATATCTGTATATCTGTGTATGTATATCTGTGTATGTATATCTGTGGGTATATCTGTGTGTATGTATATCTGCATATCTGTGTGTATGTATATCTGTGTGTATGTATATCTGTATATGTGTGTATGTATATCTGTGTATGTATATGTGTGTATGTATATCTGTGTGTATGTATATCTGAATATCTGTGTGTATGTATATCTGTGTGTATGTATATCTGTGTGTATGTATATCTGTGTGTATGTATATCTGTATATCTGTGTGCATGCATATCTGTGTATGTATATCTGTGTGTATGTATATCTGTATATGTATGTGTGTATGTATATCTGTGTGTATGTATATCTGAATATGTATATGTGTGTATGTATATCTGTATATCTGTGTGTATGTATATCCCGCTCTCGGCCAACACCAGTGACAATTATCTGAACCAGTCTCGAGCCTCCCCTAGGTCGACTCAGCCTCAAATGAGTACCTGGTGCGGTGTGTAAACATCGCCACTAGGGAGACAAAGGCGGCCGGGCGTGGGGCTGGCCACCCACCCCCTCGTGTACCATTCCGGCCTTCATAGGTGCTCGCTAACAGCACTTGCCTCTACAGTCTGTTAAGGCTATATGGGGGATCTTTGTCTTTGTATGTACATCTATATACGTGTGTATGTATATCTGTATGCATGTATATCTGTGGGCCCGTGTGTGCACGCTCACTGCATTACGAAAACCCGGTCACCCGAGTTCAACTCCTGCTCACGGGTGGGTCAACATCATCAGCGAATATCTCAAGCGACCCCCAGGGGCTGGGCCTCCCTTAGGTCGACTCGGCCTTAAACGAGTTACCTTGGCGCGCGGAGTGGAGGCGACATTTCTTTTTTGTTCATTCCGGCCGGGGGCGCTCATCGCCACGCCGCGACCGGGCCGCCTTCGGCAGCACTTGCTCCACCGCCCCGGTAAAGGCTATAACGAGGGGGGGGTCCCCCTTGCCTCTTGCGTGTGGGCGCAGCGGGCTTGCCGGTGAAGACGGACGTGCTGGCGAGACCCAGCCGCCTGTGCTCGGGCGCCCGGCGAGCCTTCTTCTGCCGCATGAAGAGCAACCAGCCGGCGCTCGTCAAGTCGGAGGAGAAGGATTTCTCCTCCAGCTGCTCCAAGAAGAAGAACGGTCGGTACAGTCCCACGGGGTCGTGGAGGGGGGAGGGGGGGTGGGGCTGGAAATGGGGTCCGGTTTGTCCGTTTTCATTGTAGGTTCAGTTCGCTTCGTTGAGACGATTCAGTTTTTTTGTTATTCTATTTATTTTGGTATAGCCCTGTGAACCATTCGGCTCGTGAATCGGGTGCAACCACAACAAGCAAAAAAACAAAAACACGAACAAGAAAAACATCTTACAGTGACTATGTGACTGTGCAAACAGAAAATCCATGAAAAAAATTGCAAAATATTCCTGAAAAAAGCACCGTACACCAACGCTGTGTGCAAAAAAATCCCAGTGGGATGCAAGTCAAACAATAACAACCACAAGAAAACTTAGATTAAGGCCATCAGTCTAACTCCGTACTACAATAAAACAAACATGTCCAAACCAAAACACTTTTCGAAATCACCAAAAAATAAAGCCATGATTGCAACGTAACAGTGATCACAGGGACTGTGACCGAATTTTTACAATAAACTACATAAATAACATGCAACACCAAATCCTAGAGCCATAGCTGGCTGCATGAGTTACTCCACAACAACAGAAGCATCAGTCGGAGTATCACATTTTTCAATGCACCTTTAAGATCAGCACGCTAAATCAAAATACAGATAATACTTTGCAGCGTCATCCAAAGCGAAACATTTGATTTTATCTTACGCCAATGAATAGCAGTGGCAGCTAGGGGTGTATAACTCCTCTAGAGGAGTTTTGAGAGAAGATCTCATTGGTAGCGATTCAAGTTGCAGTTTATTGGCAATAGCATTCCAGACCTTGGGGGCATCAATAGCAAAGGCCCTTCCTCCAGTTTTTGTACGGCAATAGGGAATGTGAAGCTGATAAATGAGCGAAGACCTGAGGTCAAATTTGTTCTTTGAAACAGAGAGGAGATCCAGCAGGTAGTCTGCGGATATTTTTGTAAGTACATCGTGAATAAATAAGATCTGGTGCACAAACCGTCGAACATTAAGAGATGTTAAGTTTGACCCAATGTAGAGATCACAGTGGTGAGTCCTATATGGGCAGTTCAATGTAAATCTTAAGGCCGAGTGATAGATGGAATCAAGCTTTTTCAGTACAGTACTTGGGGCTGATTTATACACGATGTCACAGTAGTCAAGTAGAGGCAGTATGGTAGCTTTTATCAATTCCAAACGGAACATTGGGGGGAAGCAGTGCTTGTGTCGATACAGAAAACTAATTTTTATTTTTGTCTTTTAACCAATATAATCAACGTGATCTTCAAAATTCAGTTTTGAATCCAGGATGACCCCAAGATACTTATAGATCTTGACTTGCTCTAATTGATAATTATTTAAGGAATGTAATTGGGGAAAAATAACTTCCTGCTTTAGTCCTGGTGAGAAGCATAGCACCTTGGTTTTGGAGGTATTCAGGACTAGTTTAAGAGCAACTAGCTGATGTTGTAGTTTGTTGAAATCACCCTGTAGCTTAGCAATCACGTCATCTGGAGAGCGGCCAGCAGTAATCAGTATCGTGTCATCTGCAAAAAGATTTACCTTGGAATGATCCAGGTCAGTGCCCAAGTCATTTTCATAAACCGATACCAAGAGCGGGCCGAGGATGGAACCCTGTGGAACCCCTTTTGTTATCTTAACACTGTTTGACCTCCAACCATCTGTGACTACAGTTTGGGTGTGGGAAAAGAGGAAAAAATTTTCACCATTTTACTGTGTTTTCCAAAAAACCGAGGCAACTTAGTTTACTAAGCAGGATGTTGTGGTCTACTGTATCAAAAGCTTTGGACAGGTCTAGAAAAAGACAGGCACAGTACTGCTTATTATCAAGGCTACTGTAAATGTGATTCAGAGAGTCTAATGCAGCAGATGTGGTGCTGTATTTTTTTCGGAACCAAGATTGTTTTAGATGCAGTAGATTGTTGGTGGACAGGAAACTGCTAATTTGGTAGGTCATTAATTTTTCAAAATTTTTCATCAACGGGGACAAAATTGAGATAGGTCGGTAGTTATTTGGATCATCTTTAGGGCCCCCTTTGTGAAGTAGACGGACATAGGAATGTTTCCATTCTAGAGGAACTGATGCTTCTTTGATGGACAGGTTTAAAATATGGGCTATAGGTTTGTATATTAGGTGACCAACAGTAGAGCAAAGACGGGAATACTATCTGCTCCGGTAGAGGAGGACCCTTTGAGGTAGGACAGTTGTTTCAGAACATTACTTTCGTGGATTGGCTGGAAACTAAATTCGTTTAATGTTTGGACAGGGGTGTAGGAATTTGCATGAGCAGGGGTGACTCCCAATACATTATCAAAAAGATTACCAGCTTCAGAAAAATGAAGGTTAAAATTGTCAACTATTTTTTGGGGATCTGAAAAATATTCCCCATTTTGGTTAAGCTCAGCGGGCAGATTGTGGGTTTTCGATGCCTTTTCGATACATTTGATTGTTTTCCAGAAAATCCTGGCATTTCCATGTGATTCCAGGAGAGTGGAGGAAAAGTAGTCATTTTTTGCATGCCGTATTTTTTTGACGCATCTATTCCTTAAAATCCTGTATTCTAGCCAGTCATTGACCATTTAAATTACTTTTCTGAGCACATGCCCAAGTCTTGTCGCTAGTTTTCATGAGCTTTGTAATCAAAGGATCAAACCATGGTGGGCGGTTGCCTTTAATTTTAAATCTAACCAACGGAGCATGTTTGTTAAGAATTTGGAGAAACGTGTACCTGAAGGTCTCCCAAGCCGTAGTCAGGTTGGGGATATCACAGACCTTGTCAATATCCGAGTGAAGCAGATAATTAGTAAATGCCTGAGTGCTGAAGTGTCTCATAGAGTGCTTCTCAACCAATTTAGGGGGGGCTTTGGGTCTGGTTGATGATCTCACCCCAAAAATGAAGGAGTGATCACTAAGGTTATTACCCAGAACACCAGTCAGTGTGAAATTGTAAGGGGCATTTGTCAATAGGACGTCAAGCAGAGATGTCCCGGATTTTTTAGGTTGGGTCTTGTGGGGACATTTATTAATTGAAACAGATTACATTCATCTGCTAAATTTGTGGCCACGGCCGGCGGGTTTAGCCAATTCCAATTTAGATCACCCACTAAAACTATTTCACCTTTAGGGAGGCCCCCAAAAAGCTCTCTGTGCAGATGCAGCTTCAATATCCTTCCCACTAGGCGGTCGATAGCAGCACACTACCAATATCTGTTTGGGAGAGTTATTTTGAGAGCCAGACCTTCAAAGCAACATTTTTTAAACAAGGAGTGAGCTGGTGAACATGCAATAGTATTACGAACATAGATGACAATTCCACCTCCTTTAGATCCTCGGTCAAGTCGAAAAAGGCTGTAGTTGTCAATCGCAATCTGCAAGTCATTGACGGCAGGAGTGAGAAATGTTTCTGTTAGGCAAAAAATGTCCGGGTCAAGATTTGCCACTTCTAGTTTTAGTTGACTAAATTTAATCACAAGCCCTCTGATGTTGACATGTAGAACACCAACACTTTTCCTGCCAGAAATATCGACAATTATACGAGTTCTTTTCATTTGGGCCAGGATGAAGCTCAATACCACCCAGAAATAAGGAAAGTAGAATTAATAGTTTGCACAAGTATTTTCTGTGAAAGGATGAAGAGCGGCGAACCTTGGACGAATAGCAGTAGCTCGCAGATGGTGTTATTTTTAAGAGCAGAATGAAGTTTGGAAGGAGTGCTGGTGAAGTAATGGGACAAAGATAGGGTTTAAAAGGATACAATGATGGAGTGTAGAAGTGTCTATGAGCTGTTTCATTAGCAGGTGTAGTGGCAAATCGAGCAACAAGTATGGACGCAAAGTAACGAGGGTAGCTGTTGGTAAGAGTTGAGTGTGGCACTAGATATGGCCGGGGAGGGACAGCAGTAGGATACACAGCAGGATAATTGCCATCTCTAAAATATCCGGGGTAAACACACATTAACACGCAAGCAGAAAAGAAAAAAATATATATATACTTGTAGGCCGAGCGCGAGAAAAACGGTTTGAACCAGCTGAGAACTCGAGAGTGACCTGGGGGTATTGGTCTGGGGTCCTTATTTCTGCAACCTGTGCGCCGGCGTCAGGCCCCAGCGCAATTGAACATTTCCGTCCTTTGCGTAAAGTTCCCACAACCGAACCTCGCTAACCAAAAAAAAAACAAAAATAACCCCCGACCCGCGACCGCCGCCCTCTCTTCCGAACGTAAACCGTCCCTCCCGACGGCCGCGTGACCGCGACCCCCCCCCCCCCCCCCCCGGCCCCGCCCCCCCCTCGCCCCGGCGCAGACCGCAAGAACTTCTGCACGATCCACTGCACGGGCTACCTCAAGAGCTGGCCGCCCACCAAGATGGGCCTGGAGGAGGAGGGCGAGAGCTCGGACAACGAGGGCTGCAACCTCAGCTGCCTCGTGGCAATCGGCCGCCTGCACCCGCACGTGACGGCGCACGCCCCTCCCGCCTTGGCCGCGGCGGGCACCGGCGGCGCGGCGCCACCACCGTCGCACCAGCTGGGCGCGGGGACCCTGAACCCCGCCTCCGCCCAGCACCAACACCAACACCAGCACCACCAGCACCAGCAGCACCACCAGCAGAACCACATCCGTGTGCGACCCGCCGAGTTCGTGTCGCGCCACGCCGTCGACGGCAAGTTCACCTTCGTCGACCAGAGGTCGGTGTCGACGCCGCGCCCGTCGCACGCAAAGCGCCGAATCTCGTCCCGGGGAGCGTGAACCAGCAAACGCGCAAACTCCGGCCACCGTCCTCGCGGCGGCGGTAGAGGCGGCTTTAGGCCTCGGCCGTCGGACAAAAGACGGTGGTGGCCGCTTCATCGCGCGGCGCTTTCGGGTTCGCTTCGGCGGCCGTCCGGAACGCTCTTCCTTCCGATGTTAGGAAGACACTGGGAGCTACGCACTTTTAAACAATCTCGGTTGAAAAGTGTTTTTCGTGTTTTGTTCGTCGTCCTTCCCCGCACCTCCGATGAGCGCCGTTGGCTACGTACGGCGCGACAGAAGTTGAAAGTGATTTGTTTACATTTTATATACTTTGCACTCGTGTCGTGTTTGTGTATTGTTTGTTGTTGTTGTTGTTGGAACGTCCTGACCCCGTGCCCCTCCTGGACATCTCCAGTACGAATGACTCTGATACCAGAAGAGAGTGTTCACATCTCGCCTTGCTTCACCGGCCTCCACTCCACACACACCCGGCACTCCGCTCTCCGGCGATTCGGCGAATGGTTTATGATCCTGCCGGCTGCAATTCGTTTCGAGAATGGATCAGTTCCCCTACCCCACTACCCCTCTCTCTCCCCCCTTTCTTTTACCTATATAACCTCTTGCCACGGCAGCTCTCTCTCTCGCCTTACTTCAGCATTTTTTCTTGCTGTGGTGTTCCCACCTGATGAGGATTTGCTTGTGCTGCGATCGAAACGTCGTGATTTGTTTGATTTTATATTATTTTATTTCTACCTACGTGACTTTACTGAAAGAACCAAAGAGTATGAGTACAGTTGATTATTGTTTTGAAACAAATGCCCGTGGTCCGGTTCGACGACGCGGCGGCGGCGGCGTTCGTAGCGACGTTGATTTTGTTTGTTTGTTGTTGTCGCGGTGCAGGGCGACGGCGATCCTGGGCTACCTGCCACAGGAGCTGCTGGGCACCTCGTGCTACGAGTACTTCCACCAGGACGACCTCGTGCACCTGGCCGAGTCTCACCGCCTGGGTGGGGACTCCTCGACATCACCGCCGCGAACCAGCAGCAGCAAAATCCACCAGCACCATCATCATAAAATGCACCAGCATCATCATCATCATCAAATCCACCACCACTATCAAATCCACCAGCACCATCATCATCAAATCCATCAGAACCACCGTCAGCCAGCACTAGCAGCAGCACCACCGCCACCATCAGCACCATCAGCACAATCGCCTCCATCAGCACGACCAACAAAATCATCGCCTTCAGCAGCAGCTCCAGCAACACCACCACCACCACCGCTTCCTCTCCAACACCACTGGGGCTGTCCCCAGCCAAGCCGGGTCGTTTGGCATCTTTACCGTCAAGCCCAACGCTCCTCACTTGCCATCACCTCCACCCCGCGTCTCCCTTTGCCCCCAACCTCCCCCCGCTCCCGCCCTCTCTCTCATCTCCGGTGGCCGCCACCGCGTCCCGCTCCCAGTGCTGCAGTCCGGAGACCGCATCGCCACCAACCTGTACCGCTTCCGCTGCAAGGACGGCTTCTTTGCCACGCTGCGCAGCCTCTGGTTCAGCTTCATGAACCCGTGGACCAAAGACGTGGAGTACATCGTGTCCACCAACACGCTCATCGCGTAAGTGGCTGCCTCGCTCGCCGTGCGGTGGGTCGGTCAATCGGTCGATCGATCGGTAAATCGGTCGGTCGATCGGTCGATCGGTCAGTCGGTCTATCGGCCAGTTGGTCTATCGGCCAGTCTATCGGTTAGTTGGTCCATCAGTCGGTCAGTCGGTGGGACAGTTTGTCGGTCGGTTAACCGGCTGACCCGGCCATCCGCCAATGGGCCGAGTTGTCGGGGACAGAGCCTCCGCACGTCGCCTCACTGGCCGGGCCCCAACGTTGAGCCAGCCAAGGGGGCCGCGATCTCGGTCGCAAACTGGAACATTGACGCAGGATGTGTTGTAGGCTGCTGCTGCTGTTGTTACTGCTGCTGCTGTTGTTACTGCTGTCACTGCTGCTGTTACTGCTGCTTCTGCTGTGGTTGTTACTGCTGCTGCTGTTACTGCTGCTGCTGTTGTTACTGCTGCTGTCACTGCTGCTGCTGTTGTTACTGCTGCTGTCACTGCTGTTGTTACTGCTGCTGCTGTTGTGGTTGTTACTGCTGCTGTCACTGCTGCTGTTACTGCTGCTTCTGCTGTGGTTGTTACTGCTGCTGCTGTTGTTACTGCTGCTGCTGTGGTTGTTGCTGTTGCTGTTACTGCTGCTGTTACTGCTGCTGTTGTTACTGCTGCTGTTGTTACTGCTGCTGCTGCTGCTGTGGTTGTTGCTGTTACTGCTGCTGCTGCTGTGGTTGTTGCTGTTACTGCTGCTGCTGTTGTTACTGCTGCTGCTGTTGTTACTGCTGCTGCTGTTGTTACTGCTGCTGCTGCTGTTACTGCTGCTGAGGCAGCAGAGACTGTAGGGGCGTGGGCAGCGGAGGGCAGACCAGCAAAAAAAAAATCTCACGGGAGAAAAAGACAATGACAGCGTCCTCGTTGTATGCACGGCGTTGGACGGAGCGGTCACATCGCAGGGTCGTGGGAGGTGGCGATGGCTGGGCGAGGTGGGGGGCAGGAGGCCTTCATCCAGCAGTGGTTGGACCACGGCCGAGGACGACGATGTCGATGTAACAATTCGTTCCTCTGGATGAGAATGACCTTCAGCTGCAAAACACTTGACGAGGGCACGCCGAGACACAACGTTAGAGCGCGGCAATGCCGTGCGGTGGCTGCGAGATGTACTTCTTCGTACAAAACAATTAACACTTGTGTGTATGTGTGTGTGTGTGCCTGCTTGTATGTATGTGTTTGTGTATATTGGTGGGTGCATGCGTGTGTGTGTGTGACTGTGTTTGTGTGTGTGGCATGGTGCGATGTGTGTGCTGCACGTGTCTGTGAACGTGTGCGCGTTCGTGCACCCGTGTATGGTACACGCATGCGCGTGTCAACTGTGTGTATACTTCTGCACGTGCCTGTGCATGTATTCTCCCCCCCGCCCCCCCCCCGCATGTACACACGCATTTTGTCCGCACATACATGAACGCGCGCTTGTGTCCGACCGCGTGCGTGTGCGAAACTGCGCGTGTTCCCCGTGCATGTGCATACGATCCCGTGTCCATACGTGCGCACGCCCATGTGTATGTTTGTACGCTTGCGTGCGCTCGTGTACACGTGCATGCGTGTGTGTGTGTTGGCGTGCGCGCGCGTATGCTCCGCGTCCCACCCGAGCGTGAGTTTGTCAGAAATGGGCTCGGCGAGCCCCGGCCTGGCCCAGCTGAGCCCCACCTCCACGCTGGGCTCTCAGCGCCGTGGCGGCGGCGGGGACGACCGGGCGGATGGTGCCACCGGGGGCGGCACCGGGGGGGGCCGCCCGGGCCCCGTGTCCGCGGGGTTCGCGCCCCTCACGGGGCTCGGTCCGGGGAACGGCGGCTGCGGCTCCTCCGTCAGCCGCCCGGTTTCCGCTCGCTCCTCCTCCTCCTCCGTGGGTGAGCCCGCCTGGTGATGCAGCTGCCGCTGCTGCCGTGACATCTTCCTTCCCTCTAACCAGTTTCTTTCCTTCCGTGGGGCGCCACTGTGGCGAGATGTTTAATACCTCGCCTGGTATGCAGGAGGTCATGGGGTCGATCCCGACCCTGACGCTACTGCGTGATAAGACCACTTCGTTGGGCTATCATTTGTGGCCAGGTCACTTCTGAAAAAGAGCCACATAACTCGGTGAGCTTTGAAGTTCTTTTTCACAGATGTCCAGTAATGCATGACCATTGAAACAATGGTGCGGGCTTCTTAAACCACCGTGGCCTGTGTCCACCCAGCAGTAGAAATTGGTACACCACAATTGGTTTATAATCGGCAGGTCTGCTGTGGTGGGGTACTCCCACCTCTCCCAAGACATCGGGCCAGCGTGGAGGAAGGACTAAGCCAGAATATCCCTTCCGCCAGCGGTGGGGTTGAGCAGAAAATTGCAGAGCTGCACCTTTGCCTTTACCCTTGCGAATGAGCGGTTCAACAGAGGTGATTAACGAATGTTTCCGTAACTTTTCCTTTCCATAACCAGGAATTAAACGCAGCATTCCCGGTATTCCGGGCTTGCCGGGCGGCACCAGGCCCGGAGCCGGAAAACTTGGCCGGATCATCGCCGACGAGTTCATGGAGACCACCCACAGGTGCAGGTCGCAACAACAACAAACAACAGCCGCCGTTGACCACTAAGTGGCAGTGACGTCAATATTAACTATTTTTATTTTACCAGGTAAGGCCCACCGAGCTTTATAGCTCTTTTTCAGAAGCGACCTGGCCACAAGTGATCGCTCAACGAAGTGGCTTATCTTCGTGTGGAAATTTATATCAGCCAAATACTCTTAATGCGTTTTTCTAACTGTGGAGGGAGAAACCAGAGAAGCTGGAGAGAAATCCACGTGACCACAAGAACATGCAAACTCGAAACATACAGGCCTCAGGGTCGGGATCGAACTCACGACCTCCTGTGTACCAGGCGAGGTAGTTAACATCTTGCCACCATGGCACCGCTTGTGCCACGCTAAGTGCACCGTGGAAGGCAAGTGAAGTGTCGAAGGCTCACCGCTGGCAGGAGTTCACAGGATGTACCCAGGAGCCGTGGGTCGGCCGACGGAGACGACTGGCAGATGCACCAGCCGCGCTCCCTACCGTGCCAACCGTGGCTTGCAATGCACAAAGACGAAGATCCCCCGTATAGCCTTAACAGACTATTGGGGCAAGTGCTGTTAGCGAGCATGTATGAAGGCCGGAGCGATAGACGAGGGGGTGGGTGGCCAGCACCACGCCCGACCGCCTTTGTCTCCGCAGTGCCGACGTTAACGCGCCTGCGGTATTAACCAGGGCCGCCGGCCTATAGGGGGGGAGGGGGGCGTCTGCCTCTGTGTAACACGCAAACACACGCATGTGTGTGTGTGTGTGAAACGTGTGCGTGCGCACGTCCAGGTCGCGATCCTCTCCGTCCAGCTGCGGCTCCAGCCCCCTCCAGCTCACCACCCCTCCGCCGTCCGATGCCATGTCACCCGGAAACCGCAAGGTCAGCTACTTGCGGCGCGCCGCCCGGCGGCAACGCTGCAGCTGCGCGGTCGCGTAAACACGGCACGCGCGCTGGTGACGCGGGCGGCCCGGCGGGTCGGCGCGTTTGCCGCTTGTCATCGGTGGTGTGCGGTTCCGAGCCCGGGTGGCCGCCCTGGTTAATGCGGGCGACGCTGCTCGCTGTCCGCCGTGCGGTGGGGGGCGTTCCAGGTCCAACAAATTGCTCAATTGGGATTACAAAATTGGGATTTCCCGTCCCACCGCTTAGCACGGTGGGCTACGTACGGTGGGCTACGTACGGTGCGAAATAAGTTAAACGTACATACAGCGCGGCAATCACAACGCCCGCTACTAGCAGGCTATCGCCACTTGCCCCAACGGCCTGTAAAAGGCTGCACGGGGGATCTTTGTCTGTGTGTGCATTCAGGGTTCAGCACTGGCCATGCAGTCTCCTTCAAACTCGATGAATGGAGCCGAAAGCAGCAACCCTTACAGTGGTGGCCCCATCAGTGAGTGTGACCCGACCCCACCGACTCCACCGACCTCACAGATCCCACCGACCCTGACCCACCCCACCAATCCCGTCCCCGCAGATCTCACCTACCCCACCGATCCCGACCCCGATCCCACCGATCCCACAGACCCCACCTACCACCTGCCCAATCACCTCCCTCACCTGCCCAATCCAGCTGTTCTTCCTCATCCGAATCGGCCGATTGAGTCCACACGTTGGTGGATGATGATGATGATGCTGCTGCTGACCACGATCTCTGTTGCTCGCAGGTGACAACCCCTCGCTGGACCTGTACCTCATGGACGGCTCGAGCAGCCCCAGCAACGACGAGGCGGCCATGGCGGTCATCATGAGCCTGCTGGAGGCAGACGCCGGCCTAGGGGGTCCCGTGGACTTCAGCGACTTGCCCTGGCCGCTGTGAACACAGCTGCTGCTGCTGCTGCTGCAATTGCTCCCACAGTTGCTGCTGCTCCTGGAGCTGCTGCTGCTCCTTCAGTTGCTGCTGCTCCTGGAACTGCTGCTGCTGCTGCTGCTCCTACTACAGTCGCTTCTACAGCTGCTGCTGCACCTACAGTTGCTGCTGCTCTACGGCTGATCCTGCAGCTACTGCTCCTACTGTTGCTGGTGCTCTAGAGCTGCTGCGCCTACAGCTGCTGCTCCTGCTCCTACAGTTGCTGCTGCTCTACATCTGCTGCTCCTACAGTTGCTGGTGCTCTATAGCTGCCGCACCTACAGTTGCTCCTATGGCTGCTGCTGCTCCTACAGCTGCTCCGATATTTGCTGCTGCTCCTGCAGCTGTGCCTACAGCTGCTGCTGCTGCTGTTCCTAGTTCCTCCTACAGCTGCTGCTGCTCCTACGGTTGCTGCTGCTTCTACAGCCGCTCCTACAGCAGCTAAGACGAGAGGACCACACCGCAGTACTTCAGGAACTGCTGAAAGTTTTTGCATAAAGCACAAAGGCCGAGTGCTTTTTGTAGACGTCGCTGCACGTTTTTTTTTTTGAAAGCCTTCTGGGTTTTCCAGCCTGCGCTACATTTCTGTAACAACGGGGGCTGTCTCGCCATTTACACATTCGGTTAACTTGGGCTGCCGCGCTAAACCCCCGAGCGTACACCAATTCCCCGAGTGTCAAATTCTATCATCGTCCGAGCCATCTGGAGAAAAGCTGCCACAGTGACGCTGCCTCGGTTCGTACACCGGGCGCGCAAACCAGAGGTCGCGGCAGTTGAAGGAGCGGGAAATCGTTCCTGGAATCCCCCTTCCGCTGGCTCCGTCCACCCAGTGGTTTAAAACATCTACGCCGCAGTTAGTCCATCGGTAGGTTGCGTGCGATCTGGAAAAAGTGTGGGCACGCCCAGAGCCGTCCCGACGGTACACGGCGAATCGGGGCGACTGCCCCGGGCCCTGCGATTTGGGGCTGCCCCCTCGCGCTTCGACGTCACGGCGTCAGACTTAATACTTCCGGTGTAGTTTGAAGGTGTCGGGGGTGGGGGGTGGGCCCGCACACACCACCAACCCTATGGACGGGCCCTGGGTAAGCCCCACTTCGTCAGTTACTCTGGAAAAGCGTTAGTTATTTATTGTGACATTATTTGGTGTATCTTGTCCGGAAAAAAAAAAAAGTATTATTTTAAGTCGAGCAGCGACAATCACGGCGTGACGATAATCGTGAAAATCCGGACGATATGAATGTCGTGGCTGCTGATAAAGATGCACTCCCACAAGGCCATGTGGCCAATGGATTGTGGGAAGGAGGTGTTATTTATTTAGTGACGAACGGCCAGTTTTGAGGGCTTAATGAACGAGGGGCGGGAGAATCAGAAAATGTATTTATACTGGAGGAAGGATAGCGGTGGTGATAAGTGGTGGTGGTCAACTTAGGGGAGCGGTATTGTAGCGGTTGGCACGTTGCGCTACGAACCCGGCGACCCGAGTTCGTGCCAACACCAAGTGACGATTATCTGAACCGCTCATGGACCTCCCATAGATCGACTCAGCCTCAAATGAGCACCTGGTGCGGTGTGTGAACATCACCGCTGGGGAGACAAAGGCGGCCGGACGCGGTGTTGGCCACCCGCCCCCTCTCGTGTGCCACAGTGCCGGTCATCATAGGTGCCCGCTAACAGCACTTGCTCCAACAGTCTGTTGAGGCTACACGGGGGATCTGTGTCTTTGGTCAACTTGAAGAAGAGGGAGGTAGTGCTGGTGGTCAACGCGCATGAGGGCAGAATGGTGCAGTGCGAGCGGACGTGCAAGGCTGGAGGATATTGAATAGAGGCCTTGGTCACTTCTGGATCAATCCACAATGCAATGTGAGGGGGGGGGGGGGTGTCTTATTTTTCAATAAAATCTAAAAACGTCACTTTGTGCCTAGATGCTGACAGCACAAATTGTGAAATAATTGGTTAAAAAATGCGAGATTTAACAAAAAAAGAGAGATCAGAGTTGTATTTAAAGTTGTACTGTATATACACGAAGGCGAGGGGGGAAAAATGTACCCAAAAAAATAAAATTAAAAAAAGCGTGCGGAAACGAAAAATGTGTTGCTTTGAACGCATCAAACCTGCGCATATTACGGTGTGCTACTATCGTTTGAGGAGGCTGTGTTCCCACGTGTGCAGCTGGACGGGAGGTGACGTCATCATCAACCTCAGCAGCGTCATGCTGGGCGGGGCTTGTAGGGGGTTTCCCGCCTTCGGGAGGCAGGATGTCGGGGCGGCCGCCACTAAAAAAGTAGCCGATTAAAAATCTTAGTCGATCAGTAGTACTCATCAAGGACTCGTCCCGGCTGTACTCGCAAGAATCTGAAGGCGAGCATGGCGATGGGGGGGTCGTCACTCTGAGACGTAGGAAGACCTCTTCATCGTCGTCGTCGTCGTCATCATCATCAGTCATGGTCAATCAACTGCTGGATGAAGGCTGGTTACACCTATTCACAATGGGCAGAAACACACCGGCTGTTCAAGAGCAGGGAAATATAATCGCAATGCCATAAACGTTTCGGCACAGATTTTATTGAGTGATAAGTTGTGAATTGTGAAACTTATATTGTTGGATTTGGGTGAAGACGGAACTCATTCTCCAAACAATTATGATATACATTAAATCATTAATCATTCACACTTTTCCAAATAGTAGTTTTGAAATGGCAAAAACTTCGTAAAAACGTCTTAATAATACATTGCTTTCCTTTGGCTAAGTATATATCCCATTTCAGAAGTCTCCACACAATGTTTCAGTTTATGTAACATCTCCAAAATAACACTAGTAACGAAATGTAAATGGCTCGTTACGGGATGAAACACCGACCAATTATATTCTCAAGTATTGGCTCCACGCTCGTTTTAATCTCCACGTAAATTTGAATTTAGCTTCACCGACGCACACTCGCTCTGTTACACGGAATCCTAAAAAAAAAAAGATAGGCAAAGGCGCAGCGCTGCAATTGCTGCCCTCGCATTGTCCTGATGATAATTGAGATCATTCCCTCGGGGATTTTTCTTTCCCCCCGGTAAGTTTAAACCGCCAATTCTAGCGGCAATCATCAGAATTTAGAATCTTTAATTTCCACTGCAGGAGTAAATCCGACAAGCTACGGAGCTCTTTTTCACAGATGTCCATCATGGGCGGGTCAGCAATCATCAGTCATGGTCAATCCACTGCTGGATGAAGGCCTCTCCAAGCCACTGCCGCCTCTTACGATCCCGTGAAACGAATCCACTTAGCGCCTGCACATGAACTGAATTCATCGCAAAGACACCTAAGAATATTAAAACTCCGCAGTCGCTCTAAATGCTTGAATTCGAATTCACCCACGTAGCTGCGAATCATGTCAGCAAGGCTAAGACACAAACCATATTGTTTACGATACAACTTCCTAAAACATTGACCGTAAATGAAATTCGGAAACGTCACTCAGCTACGGAAATGTATTGTGGCACACACGCACGTACACAACACAGTGGATGATACGTCTATCCAATGCAATTTGATACTTCCAGGACATCATGGGACTACATGAGATACATATATACCGCGAGACAGCTAGTAACAGACTTATCAGCTATATCGTAGCGAATACCCATGCAATCAACATACGTACGTATAAAACACACCTACACAACTACACGTAAATGCATACAAAGTGTATACATTCAAAAGCTCTGGGATTTTCGGACGAAGGGGGAAAAAATACAAAAAAACACCCACTTGAAGCGTTAAAACTTCCCGCTTGAGATGATGACCTTGGGTGGGGGGGCCACGTCACGCGCAACGGCGCAATCTCACCGCGGCCGTTCGCGCGGCCTCGAGCGTCACGGTGGGCAGCGTTGCGTGCTCCCGCAAAACTATCGGTGTGCACAGGACACAGAGAAGGTTGCATTTTTTTTTGCGGGGGTGAGGAGGAGGAGGGGTCGGGGTCTGTTCCACCGGCAAAAGGAGGAGGGGGGGGAGGCGGTTTTGTGTGTGTGGCAAGGAGGGGGGGGGGGGGGTCGGGAACCAAAATAACAAAGAAGCTACTTTTTATTTATTTTGTCCCCGAATTCGGTCAAAAAATATAATTAAATAAAATTTTCAAGAGCCGCAATCGCCGCGCGTGAATAACGTCACGAAGCGGGGTCCTTAACATGAGCCGTGTGCGGATCCGGAGCCGCAGGTTGCCGACCCCCTGGGCTAAGGAAACAAAGTGGAGGGGGGGGGCCTGTGGAGGGGGGGGGGGCTATGGGGATCACGGGAGAGAGGACTGTGGGGTCGGGGGATTGATCAATCTGGCAAGGTGACAGATTGCGACCAAGGATGGGGGCTAAGAGGAGACGAGATATCCAGAGGTAAAAGCTCTGACCTGACACCAGAGCTCTACGAGGTACCAACAGGAGGGCTGCCCCTTTTTCCTACGTGGAGCAAATCTCTGATGTGTCCTTCCCTGCTTACACCGATCATCCCTAAGTGCTCTCAATCCAGGCTCAAGTGCTCTGTGGTGAGAGTCCCCTGTAGAAACCTCACGCACAGTTAAAGCGCACCGCGCGTGCCCTGTCAAAAGTCTGCCAGCGGTCGACTCAAAATATCCTGAGACCATCGGCTGATCAGCGTGAGACCAAGTCACGAGGGGAGCGTGGTACAATCGCGCGCCACCATTTACGATCGCACGACTGTTGTTGACGATTTGCAAAATTGAAATGACGCGCAGTGGCAGAGCGGGGTGGGAAAGTGCTGGCCCGCCCCTCCCCCCCGCTTAACGTGTGGACCAGACGTCACTTGAAGCGATCTCAGAGGTAGCTCTGCGATATCCACTTCCGTGGGCCCATTCTCTTAACACCACGGGCTGCACTGCTCTGCGTGAGATCTATTACGCCAATAGCACAAAACCAGTATAAAACTAGGCGAAAACATTAAGTTAGAAAAACTTCCTTAAATAACGATTTTTTTAAAGTGTTACGTCAACACCTGCGTGAAATATTAAAACTCTGTTACAACTGGTGGCTAGAAGGGGTCTTCCGCATACAATATTCCCTTTTATGCCAAGTTCAAAGATATGAGGACAAATATCTCGCCATGAAGAGTTTCATCGCCACCATCATCAGCTATGATCAGTCCGCTGCTAGATGAACGAAGGCCCGCCAGAAGCTTCCGCCATTACCTCTCACTCTTCACAACTGCGAATGAAGGGTTTTAAACTACATAAAAAAATCTGCATGACGTTATTACATCTTGCGGTGACGAGATGTTAACTACCTCGCGTGGCATACAGAATGTCGTGGGTTCGATCCCAACCCTGATGACAAGCCACTTCGTTGAGATATCATTTGTGGCCAGGCCGCTCGTGAAAAAGAGAGCTATATAGCTCAGTGGGTTATACCTGGTAAAATTAAAATAGTTTTTAGTTTAGTTTATTATATTTTAAGAGATCATAAAAATTAGAGTCTATCCAGTTGCCACCACGGCCAAAGCCACCGATGCCACCCGAACCTCGCGAAACGCCATCAACCCTCTCCGCAAGATGCCACCACTGCCGCGCAAGAGACACACAGTGACCTCCAAGACCTGGCTTCAGCAGACTTAGGGCAGCCAAAGAGAGACGATAATGACTACTTATTCGACAATGTAAAGCTAGTGTATGTAAGATATAAAAATAGATGGAATTTTTAAGTTGTAAAGATAATTTTGGACTGCTTACTGGTACTTTTGATGGAACCTTTTGGTACATGGTGGCGTCTTCGCATGTCGGCAGGGCAGGGACTATTAGGGAGAGGCCACAGCTTTGCCTCGAGGTGTCGTTACTAGTACAGCACACCGGTGTGTTAGAGCGTAAACTAAAAACATGTACAATTCGAGTACGAAGTTTCGCCAGTAATTACAACCAGCATCATCAGGCGACAGCCAGAGTTGTGGAGAAATCCTCCTGTATCGGTCTTAAAAAAAAAACTTTTTATGGACAATATTTGTCGCAAAAGCCTACGTGCTGAACTATTCCAAAATTGGCCAGATGTTTTGGAAGAGGTGAGAGTACCCACACTTCATCCCACCACATGCAAGCTATTGATCAACTAACTACGGTGCAACATTTATTTATACCGCTTGGTGGAGAGATGCCGGGGGATTTATGAGGTTGGATGATCAAAGCGGCGACCTCTGGATTGCAATTCCAGTGTGCCGATCGTTACACCGCTGGGGCCAGCTCTCTACGTTTCCCAGCGCAAAAGCTAAACGCGTTATTTTTTATTTCTCGGGACAGCTCTGCATGTGCGGCAAACCGGTAAGCGGTGTTTACTGGGTTTTTATCATTCGGTTTTTTACCGGAAACGAAAATACACCGATTGTTACCAACTCTGGGCTGGGTCGCTCACCCTGCTCGCGTGTTCAGCTTCAACACCACACGTCAGCAGATGGTACAGATGACCACAATACACTCGCTCACCTCTCTCTGATAGCGCTAACAGTTCGGGACGAGCGTCATATTCAAGAAGTTGTAATTTTGTAAGGATAATTTCACATTTCATTATTTTCTTCAGACATTCGGATCATTCACATGACGCGATAATTTAACACTCATAGCTCAGTGGGCTTTACCTGGTAAATAAAATAGTAAATATAAAACCGCGACTTTGTGCTATTAAAGTGATGTCACTCGATGCCGCGTGGTGCCACCCTTGGCAGGGAGAGAGCCGCAAGCGGCGTCATTAAATGCGACGTCACTCCCCGCGACGTCTCGTATTTGTATCGATCCGAATATATTTTACTAGTCGGACCGGAAATTTGGTCTCGAGGTCAAATTTTTGTATTTCTGGGACAGATCCAAAATGTGAACATTTCCAGAATTACATGCATTGCAAGAGTCGGACAATACCGTATTCTTCGGATAATAAGACACGCTTTTCAATCCCTGCATATTAAAGAAAAAGTTGGGGGTGCGTCACATCATCCGATAGATGTGTGTGTTGTGTTTGTTTAACTTTAGTGACACTGGGCGCAAGTTTTTGGGGGATACGTCTTATTTTCCAGAGCAGTCTTATATTCCCTAAAAAACGGTATAGCCGGTTGTTGTAACAGAGTCGCCTGTAACAGTAACGATATAACAAAATAACAAAATAACAAAACAACACTGAATGCACGCCCCCGCCCCCCCCCCCCCCATGCTCCATGAACGAAGGTGGCGTGCTGGGCTAGGCCGGGGGTGGGCGAGACAAAATAAAATATTACATAACTTAACGAGAAGAGGCATTCTCCACGACGCATAGTTCCAAAGAAAGGAACCAAAAATATTCCAGGATACGATACAAACGGCTTAGGGAGAGGGGCAGGCGGCGGCCGTGGTGGCAGTGGTGGCGACTACGGCGCCGCGAGGATCCGGCGACGCGGAGGCCCCCTTGGGGGCCTTGCCCTGGTCCTCGATGCGTTTGATGGCGGCGGCGATCTCGGCCGTGTCGCCCAGGTAGCGGCGCTCGCCCACCGGCGCCAGCTCGTCGTCGAGCTGCAGCACGACAGGGACGCCCGTGGGGATGGTCAGGTGCAGGATGTCCGCGTCGCTGATGCCTGCGTCCGAGCAGCAACGGCAAGCGGCGATGGTGCGCCCGTTTTTTGTGACGCGCGCACAACTCACGACGGAGGGGGCGGGGGTTCAGATGGCGGTGATGACGAGGTGAAGACTCGCGACGAGAGGCTCGTGACACGGTGGAGTGGACTTGTGACGAGGTGGAAACTGGGGCTCGCGATCACGTGGGAGTCATCCCAATTTGCATGCAGTCCCCCCTATTGTTCTGGTTCGCGTCCTGCAACCTTTGGGCAACGCTTTTTATCGATGTGGCCGGTCGTCCATTGGGCAACTCACTTAACAGCAACGTGACTCTGCACTAAACCTCCATGAACATCAGATCGACTCCGCAAAAGTTGTAGTACCCCTCCCCCCACCACCCCTTCGGTGTTATTCACGAAGGGAATTGACGGCCAGAGCTCGTGCATGAACGCTCTCAGCTTTCGCTGCGAAGCGCTAAAACCCGAACACACGTAAGTGGGTCACATGGACACGGATGAAATTGCAGACGGCGATGAGCCAATGATTTACTCGAGGTCATGCGTGTTTTCACGGGAGGCAGCTGCCTGGCGCGAGCTTGAAATCGAATGCAAACAAGTTTTGCCCGCACAATAGCCGCACATCTGCCAGGTTTCCAGTCAGTGCAGCTTGTCGACAGAAAAATCAGGGAAATGTGTGTCGCGGTAGGGAGCGGGAATTCTTCCCTAAGAGGGGAGATGGACAAGCGGTTAGGCTCATGGACAAGCGGTTAGGCACTTGTCCATGAGGGGAGGGAGGCAGGGAGGGGAGAAACGCAAGTGGAGAATGGTGGAAGTTAGGAAAATACAATTACTGTATTTTCCGGATTCTAATACGAAGGATATGGAAATACCTATTGGTGAGAAAAGCATGGACGTGATGTCAAATCAGTGACTTCTAGTTTTCGGATCAATCCGAAGCAAAACATTTTTTCGGATCATCCAAAATGTCCGATCTAGGCCCGATATGCAGATTAATTTTGAAAAGTTGGGAGCAACCCCAAACGGCAGCCTACAGAGGGGTCCCCGGAAGCTCGAGGCAGAATCCCACGTAGCGCGCCCCCCCCCCCGACTCATCGAGCCAACAAAAACAACAGCCGCCATTCGCCACTAAGTGACGGTGATGTTTCCACGGCGCCTGTGCCAGGCCAGGCGCACTTTCACAAAAGCACGCACGCACAGGCCCATTGCGGGGCCCCTTTATCAGCGCGAGAACCGGAACAAACTGACGCACTACCAACCCCCCCAAAAAGCCGCCCATCGCCCCCCCCCCCCCGCCCCCCCCCCCCCCCCCCCCCCCCCCCCCCCCCCCCCCCCCCCCCCCCCCCCCCCCCCCCCCCCCCCCCCCCCCCCCCCCCACCTTCCAGGTGCTTGATGATGGCGCGGACGCTGTTGCCGTGCGCGGACACCAGCACGTTCTTGCCGGCGCGCAGCTCGGGCACGATGCTGCCCTCCCAGTAGGGCAGCAGGCGCTCGAGCACGTCGCGGAGCGACTCGCCGCGCGGGATCTTCCCCCGCGGCACGTCGCAGCTCGCGTAGCGCCGGTCGCCGTGGATCTCGTCGAAGTAGGGGTGCGCCTCGTCGATGGGCGGGGGCCGCACGTCGTAGGCGCGCCGCCACGCCTTCACCTGCTCCTCGCCGTGGTTCAGCGCCAGCTGCGCGCGGTTCAGGCCGACGAGGGCGCCGTAGTGGCGCTCGTTGAGGCGCCAGCTGTGCGCCAGCGGCACCCAGGCCTGGCCGACGCCCTCCAGGATGAGCCAGGCGGTCTTGATGGCGCGCGTCAGCAGCGAGGAGAAGGCGGCGTCGAAGCGGATCCCGGCGGCCGCGAGGAGGCGCGAACAGCGGCGCGCCTCCGCCTCGCCGTCGGCGCTCAGCGGCTGGTCGACCCAGCTGCAGAAGCGGTTCTCGCGCGTCCACGAGCCCTCGCCGTGGCGCACCAGCACGAGCGTGCGCGTCGCCATAGCGTCGCACGCCGCAGTCGCCGCCGCAGTCGCCGCCGCAGTCGCCGCAGTCGCCGCCGCAGTCGCCGCGGGAGCGTTCACGCCGTCACTCCGCGCTCCGCTCCCGTCGCCGCGGAATCGGACAGATGACGAGCTCGCGCCTCCTGCAACAAGCACGCGACGGGACGATTAATCGATTACGTGCGTATGCATGTCGAACTTGAATAGTTTAGTTGTCTTTGTTTATTTTAAGTGATTCATCATTCCTATACTTTGCACTCATATCGTGTTTTTATATTGTTTGGTGTTATTCAGTTTGACCTGCCCCTACTGGACATCCTCCGGTATAAACGAATATTCCGATTCTGACTTCTGCGCCCGCCTGCACGGCGCAGCTTGATGTAGTATGGTCACAAGTAACCCCCCCCTCCCTCCGCACGCCCACAAGATCAGTACGGTGCGGGGAGCTAGTGAAATAAAAATAAATTAGTTTTCAATTAAAATACATTTTGCCGCTCACGCATTAAAAAAATAGCCCCCAACAAAATGTAGCGTGCGGCTGCCATTGGCCAAAAAATGTCAATGCTGGAAATTGAACAGTGCCACGGCGTGACTCTACCGTGACGATGGCAACGTCGTCCCCTATAATGTGAGAAACGAGGCGAGGTGCAGACATCGTTTGCCTGTAAGTGACCTATTTCGTCTTCCTGTGCCTTGTCCGCACTACTCTTTTTTTTTGTAACGATGCTGTTTTTTACATCATTGGACAGCCTTTGCCAGTACCAAAATGTAAAAATAGGGTTTTCCGCTTTTTTCTGGCAACAAAACTGAAACCTTTTTACTAGGATTCATGTCTGCATTAACCACAATACCTGCAGTCAAAATGCAAACAAAAAAAACATACTATGATAATATATGCATTGTCCTTGAAACTGATTGGTCCACACCAAGGGACGGCTTTCTTTTGAGCCTCGACCCAATTGTAAATCTTGTGGATTCACTCTTAAACACACCAGTGGGCTAAAGTAGTGAACTATTTGTCTTTTATCAACGTGACACTTTTTTGCTGATTGGCCGTGTCGAGTGGTGGAGGGTTACGACACATTTATAAAAAACGCGATCTAAACCAAAAACCTTTACTATGAATAATATTGGTCGCGAAAGCCTACGCGTTAAACTGCATTTATATTTTTAAAAAAATTATTGGAGATTTAAATTTGTTTCTTGGGAAGTGGTGTGTTTTACCACTGGCACTTATATGCCTAATCTTGCACTTTTTTCATTCCTTACAAAGCTCAAAACTTTTAAAAGATACATTTTATATTTACAATTATATGCTTTCTTACCTTTTTACATTTATTCATTTAACTGTCACGGAAATGGTGTGATTTTATTGATGACACCAGACTTAAGAGCTTCTTAGCTCACAGGGTACTTCAAAATAAGCTGAAGCTGATAGGACCTTCCCAATACGAGTCTTGAGACTCAATGGAAGACTGTCTTGGATAAACAAATAATAACATCGACTGTAGACGTCAATGCAGTAACGTAATCTGTGACAAGAATCGATTATTAACGATTTTTTTTTTTAAAACTTCACACGGTTGCCACAAAGGGCCAGCGGGCCAGCAACAAACAGCACCGTGAGAAGTTGCAACAGATCGAGTGCAACGAGTTGCTTGAATTGAGCGAGGTCACGATGAGATTTTGGGGAAAAGAGACGATGGCGAGCAGTGGGAGGAAAAGAAGCATAAATATTATGCAAATGAAGCACGTGTTAAATTAAAGCTACTTAACTAGACGAGCCGGTACAAATGACACACAACGGACAACAGACTGCACAAATGAAGTAAAAAAAATTATGATGGGTTCATCAAATTATGGCGCGGAGGGGAGAGGAGGGAATTACCGCATTCTACAGAATACAAGACGCTCCTGAAAGTAAGACCTCAACGCAAGCTTGTGCTCGGGTCAAATAAAGCATCACGAATTTGGTCTCGGCCACAGACACACACGCACGCGCATCTACTGGATCAAAAGACGCACCGTCAACTATTGCTTCAAATCACATGTGGTGAGGAAAGGGCATCTGATAATCCAGAGAATACGGTAAAATACAATTACCTTTGCATTGGATATTAACACAAAGACAGACTTTACTCACCGCCGTCAACCATAACGACCAGGTAAAACGACACCACGGCCCCTTAGAAACCACGTTGACGGGTGGCTAAGAGACCGCGACCAAGTCCGAACCAACACGCGCGCACGCAAAACGATCCTCCCCTGGGCGCTATAATTTTCCGAGTTAAAAAAAAAAGATTTTTTTTTTATCCTCCTCAGGACTTTGTATTCCTCTCGCTTTAACTACCGCCGCCGTCATCATCCACGTGCCTTCGCTCAGGCTTTTATCGGGGGGCAGGAGGGGGGTAACGGTGCAATGAACGTTCTAGCATGACGTGCTCTTCCGCCTGTTTTTTCCTCCTCCCTGAAATAAACGTACCCGCCGGGAGCGACGGTGACAGATGTCCCGCTGCAAATGCCGCGCGGAGACACGCAGACGCAAAGACGCACGCGCAACCACCCCCATGCGTTTTCCTCCCAATCGTCGTGAACTCCGCTCCCCCGTTCCTTGTTCCGGGTTTTTTTTTTTTTTTGGGGGGGGTGGGGGGGGCCAGAAATGTTTTGTTGTTGAAATATATTTTTTTTCTCTGCCCGGCTCTATTATTTTTGTTTGGAATTGGGCGTTTCGCGCGAACGCTATTAATCTCCCAACGTCTGGCCCGCCTGCGCACATGCGTTTGGATTTTTTTTGGCGCATCAGTTCACGTTTTTTTTTTATTTATTGTCGATTATAAACCACGGCAGAGCAGTGGTTGGTCGGTTGGCACGCCGCGCTAGGGAGCCTGGCAACCCGAGTTTGATGCCAGGCCACCAGCGAGCGGTTAACATCAGTGGCGAGTGATATCAATACAGGTCCTTACCCTACCTGCCCCAACCTTCACCATCAATCCGGACTGACCAGCGTGGTGAAGTTCGGTAAAAAAAAAAACTCATACGGCGACACGGCATGGAGAGGCCCTCATCCATTGGTGGATTGAGAAATGGCTTAATTAATATTTTAGACCTGATCACCTCTTTACTTCGGCTTTTTTAACACACATGACCCACTTACTAATTGGCTGTGTCGGGTGGTGGAGGGTTACAACACATACTTACGCGATCTAACCCAAAAACCTTTATTATGAATATTGGTCGCGAAAGCCTACATGTTAAACATGACCACGACTCATCGTGCAACCATTTAAGCTGCACAGTGTCGAAATGACACACACACACATCGTACAGACCGATGAAGTCATTCTAGGCATAAGATTAAGTATAATATGCTCGCACTTACTCAGCAGCCAGGTATGCCTCACGCAGTTGGGCTGAGTCAGAACAGCACTCCCAACGCGACACACCTAGAGGGCTTGGCCAGCTCACCAAGTTTTACGAAACATGGGCAAAGGCGCAGCCCTGCAATTGCCCGCTCACGCCACTGCTGGCGTTAGGGCCTCCCACGAGAGGGAACTCCACACACGTCGATCTAGATGAGCGTATTTTGGGCCTGCTCTTACACGCCGGCCAGACGTCTTGGAAGAGCTTGGAGCACCGCACACATTTTTCCCCACCACACGGCTGCCTTGCCGATCGACTAACTGTGGCCTATGGACGTCTTATACTGCTGGGTGGACAGAGGCGTTGGGCGACGATTTTTGAAACTCGCACCGTTGCTTCAACTGCCGCCGCTGGGAGATTGAATCGAACCGGCGGGTTTGCACACCCAGTGTGCCAAACCATTAAACCACCGAGGCATCATTAAACCCCCGGGGACGATGCCAATTTGCTTAATAAACGTCTCCTTTCTGACCTTTCTGTAACTACAAATTCGGTGCATCGGGAAATACGACCGTCAATTTGCTGCGATATATTGAAGAAAGAAAAACACACACTGAACCTCGATGGGTTCTGAATGTTTGTATTTTGGTCACGGGAACTTTCTGATGTGTCACCGAGTCGGCCAAAGGTATCTTGTATTACACTGCAGCGTGTCGGTCAAGAAGACGCGGCTTGGCTTGCGAGTCCTACCGCATGCAAGAGCCCCTGTGTCACTCCACTGCTAGATGGCAACGTGGGCCTCCTCCCCACACCTGTGTAGGCCGTGAAGGGTTATTGAACCATATTTCACCACCCTCCATGGGTTCGTGCGGGGAGCATATACATGTGTAAGCATAGAAGTATAACAATTGCACTGCCATCTGCAGCTCACCACCAACCCCACGGCACTCCCAGCACCACGCCCGACCGCCTTTACCTCCCAATTTCTGATGTTTACACACCACACCAGGTACTCAGTTGAGGCTGAGCCGACATAGGGGAGACCCAGCACCGGTTCAGATAAGCGTCACTGGCGTTGGTCACGAGCGGGAACCAAACTCGGGTCGCCGGGTTAGTAGGGCGGCGCGCCAAACCGCAGTGCCACCGCTCCATTGTGCTCGGGACATGGGGTGACATCATCCTAGGAAGAGCATAATGTGTTGTGTTGACTCATCTCCCGTGTCAGACAATGCTCTGTTGACTCTGGGGCCTGGACACAAGGCCAAGGGCCAACTCCATCACAACCGCGATTCAAAAGTCACAGTGATTTCTGCTCAAACGAGCACAGAGGCGGTGCTCATCTCCCATTGACAGCCCTGAGCTAGTGGTGGTAATTCCACATTCCTATGGCATAAGACAACAATTGTCGACGTCCCCCACGAAGTGGTACCAATTGCATCGACCCCCGGAGGGAGGATGGATGATGGAGAGACTAAATGCACCCACCCCCCCTCCCAAACAGGATTCAAATTTGCAACCTTCCGATCGTGAGCCGCTCGCTCTACTGCTCCGTTATTATTCTTGACCATCGCCCCTTTAGATTTGAGGCAGTGCTCACGAGGCAGGCGCCGCGGTGGCAAGATGTTAACTACTGCATCCGGTATACAAGAGGCCATGGGTTCGATCCCGACACTGATGCCTGCTGTATATGTGGAGTTTGCGTCTCTCTCTCTCTCTCTGCTCGTGGTCGTATTGATTTTCCTTCGGGTCCTACGGTTTTCCCCTCCACGTTTAGAAACATGCG